TGGTTTGGGTTGGAAAGGAGCTTAGAGCCCATCCAGTTCCAACCCCTGCCACGGGCAGGGACCCCTTCCACTGGAGCAGCTTGCTCCAAGCCCCTGTGTCCAACCTGGTCTTGAACACTGCCAGGGATGGGGCAGCCACAGCTTCTCTGGGCACCCTGTGCCAGCGCCTCAGCACCCTCACAGGGAAGAGCTTCTGCCTAAGAGCTCAGCTCAGTCTCCCCTCAGGCAGGTTCAAGCCATTCCCCTTGGCCTGTCCCTACAGGCCCTTGTCCCAAGCCCCTCTCCAGGTTTCCTGCAGGCCCTTTAGACACTGGAACTGCTCTAAGGTCTCCCCTTAAGGAGCCTTCTTTTCTCTAGAAAGTCCTTATTCATCCATGCTGTAGTTACTCAAACTAGAACTTCTCTCCATGTCGCCCTCTTTCCTGTCCTAGCAGTAACTATGGAACGATGACAAGGAGCAAGCTAATGCCAGCTCACATTCCACAGGGATAAAGGAAGTCTGATCACATCAGTTGGACACCAGAGTGTCTGTGAGGTGACAGCACAGGAAGGGTTTCCCTGCTGTGTTGGTTACCTGCCTGCTCGTGCTCTATCTTCCTGCTCCCTGGCTTTTCAGGCCACCAATGTCCTTGGATATGTGCTGTCATCTGCCCTTGCTGTGAGGGATACCTGCTTGAAACAGGCCTGCAGCCAGACATCATCCCTATGGCTGGAGCTGCATTCCAGCCCGGATCTCCTGGGATGAGAGCTTCATGGTTAAGCTCAAAACCTGAGTTTCAGCCCAATGCAGTAACCCCGGCTGTGTCCTGGAATACCACAGAGGCTTCCAGCCTAGGAGCCAGATAGAACTGGGTAAGGGACGGGTTTGGATGCACTTGCACAGGGAGCTGCTCTTCCCTAAACCTCACAACTTCAAGTGTCTTGAGTAGGAGCAGGTCAAGACACAGCCACAGCCTGGTCCTGGAGTGTTCCTGATCCCAAAGGAGGAAACTCATGGACTACAGGGCCCAGCATCCTCCACTTCGTTATGCTCATCCTCCGATGGGAATGGCCTGTGGGGCCAGCACTCCTAGGCCATTCTCAGGCAAGAAAACAAGGCTTAAGTGAAAACCAGTCATGCTGGAAGGCTATTTGTGCACTTGCAAAGTAGTCTGAGGTCTCCTGTAGCTGCTCTTGTTCCCCCAGCATTCAGAGGTGTCCTGGCAGGAGCCACAACAGGCAGCTGATGTCTGACAGCATCACAGGACAGGATCTGAGGCGAGTTTCAGCTGCGCAGGGAAAGGCCCAGACAGGCACAAGGAAGCACCGTGGCTGCTGCATCTTCTCTGAAAGCATGGAAATAGAAAGGGAAAGCTGCAAATGAGGTTTCCTTGAGGTGCTTGCCAGCATGACCTAAGCCTACTGCACTCTCATGCAGCACTCTTCAGGGCAGGAGTGAGGGACAGGCTGAGAGAGCTGGGCTGGGTCAGCCTGGACAAGAGAAGGCTCCTGAAGGGGAGACCTCAGAGCAGCTCCAGTGCCTAAAGGAGCTGCAGGAAACCTGGAGAGGGGCTTGGGACAAGGGCCTGTAGGGACAGGCCAAGGGGAATGGCTTGAACCTGCCAGAGGGGAGACTGAGATGAGCTCTTAGGCAGAAGCTCTTCCCTGGGAGGGTGCTGAGGCGCTGGCACAGGGTGCCCAGAGAAGCTGTGGCTGCCCCATCCCTGGCAGTGTTCAAGGCCAGGTTGGAGCAAGCTGCTCTAGTGGAAGGTGTCCCTGCCCGTGGCAGGGGTTGGAGCTGGATGAGCTTTAAGCTCCCTTCCAATTCAAATCATTCCATGACTTTAAATGGTTCTGGGATGGGAGTTGTGGTTGCCCAGCAAAAGGTTGCAGTTGCCCTTACCTCCAGCAAAGGTGAGGAAGATTCTATGGGTGTGCACGGAACTGGAATCACTGAGCTGGTTTTGTGAGAGCTCTCCCACCCCACAAACACCACAGCGAAACAGTGGGGTGAAGAGTGGGTGCTCTGGCACCCAGAGGTGAGCCCCTCGCAAGCTGTGCTCCCTGTGGGCCTTCAGCAAAGCCTCCCCAGGAGCTGAGAGGGATGGGAGCTGGTTTGGTAGCTTCCTGCCCCCAAAGGTGGGGCCAGCACAGCTCTGCCTGCCCATGCTGAGAGCCCAGAGCTCCCAGGCACGGTCCTCAGCTAACAGCAGCATGCCTGCTCCATCCATTCTCACCATGGGCATCTCTCTCCAGGTGGCTGTTCCATGGCCATCCCGCTCCATCCCTCCCAAGCAGCCAGTCTGGACTAATTCAGGGCACCAGCATGGAGGTGAAATGTGAGGGTTGTGGATGAGGGGAAAGGCTTTATCCTCCTGTTGCTTCCAGGTGCTGGAAGCTTGGCCTCAAGCCTTTGGGTTGCAGCAGAAGAGCAGGGTGCTGAGATGATGTTTGCAGGAGCTGGGATTTGTGCCTGATGGGGGGAATGTGTTTGAAATGAGCCTTTCCCAAAGCACTGGGAAGGGAGGCTCTGGCTCATGGGTCCCTAAATCCTGTACAGGAATTTTAAAAGCGAGCACTATGCAGAGTTAACCAATTCCATGAGTTTAAGGGACGGTGCTTTAGAAATGGACCTGTCCTCCACTATAACACATCCAGGTCCTCTTCTCCCACTAATACCACCGCATCCCTTGTGCATCCCCTTGAAAGAGCCCATCTCAGTTTAAAGGCAGAAATGACAGAGTTTGGGAGTTCCAGAGCCTGGATTTCTGCTGGGATCAGTGGGAAGCGTGGCCCTGGCACCCAGCGTTTGTGCCCCAAGGTGTTCCCCAGGAATATGGGTGTCACTTCTGTTTGTCTTTTATTTGTGCATTTATATAAAGCCTGTGAGCAAAGGGAATTTTAACTTTGTATCATTACAGAGAGTGAAAGAAAATACTCCTCCTTCATACGAGGTGTAGTGGGTGGCTTAGGACACAGCAGCCATCATTAACACAGGGCCTGGGTTCAGGATACTCAGGGCTCTTTCTGGGATGCGCCCCTCATTCGTATCCCTGCCTTGAACGTGAGGTGTTGGTGTCCCTATTCAGGTGTCTGGGAAGGGGAAAGCTAATGAGGTGTTGACAGCAAGGAGAGATAAGGAGCTCTGCTTTGATGGCAGGGAAGTGACTTGTGAATTGATCAGCTTCCTTGGAAGTGTGAGGCTGGAGGTATGAGGAGTTGTCTCCACATGCTCCTGCACCAGTGAGTTAATGACTTTAGAAGCATCTTTAAAGCAATACATGTGTGCAGGGGGGGATCCTTTCTCTTTCACTGGTACTGTTTAAATAAGTAAGACTATAAGGAATCCCAGACTGGTTTGTGTTGGAATGTACATTGAAGCTCCTCCAGCTCCAACCCCTGCCACGGGCAGGGACACCTTCCACTGGAGCAGCTTGCTCCAAGCCACTGTGTCCAACCTGGCCCTGAACACTGCCAGGGATGGGGCAGCCACAGCTTCTCTGGGTACCCTGTGCCAGCGCCTCAGCACCCTCACAGGGAGGAAGAGAGGCACCAGCAAAGCAAGGTAGTGATCAGTGATGGATGATTGATAGCCGGGTGTGTTTGATGCAGTTACTGAAGCTGTGATGGGTTTGGGGGAGCAGGGGTTAAGGGGAAGGGGATGGAGGCCAGGCAGGGCTGGGGGCAAAAGAAACCCTCACCCATGCCAGGGCTTTCATCAAGAGAGCCTAAAATAAGGAAGAAATGAGCTGTCAAACACCCCAGGCAGTGGGAGGTTGTGCAGGGCCCGGAGATGCATGGAGGGGAAGTTCAGGTTGGATCTGAGGCAGAAGTTGTTCCATGTGAGGGTGCTGAGACGCTGGCACAGGGTGCCCAGAGAAGCTGTGGCTGCCCCATCCCTGGCAGTGTTCAAGGGCAGGTTGGACACAGGGGCTTGGAGCAAGCTGCTCCAGTGGAAGGTGTCCCTGCCCGTGGCAGGGGTTGGAACTGGATGGGCTTTAAGGTCCCTTCCAACACAAACCATTCCATGACTCGATGTGCACGCTGCTCACCTCATTAGTGATGGTGACTTTTGCCATCCCAGCATCATGATCCATGGCTGTTGGTGGGATGTGACCCTGTTCCCATTGCCACCAGGCTGCTGCCTCCAGCTTCCAGGCCCAGATGTGACAGCAGCTGCTGCTGCATCATCTCCTGCCCCATCCCTGCCTGTCTGCTATCCCCATTGGTGTGAATGCTTTACAGCAGGAGCATCCCGAATTGGGTGAAGTCAGCTTAGCTAATTCAGACCAGGTTCACTTTTATCCGGGGGGATTTAGGGAGCATTCCCACAAAGGAAGCATGGAGGGGTGGCAAACAGCTGGGGACAGTAATTCCTTCCAGATCCAGCACTACTGGAAGAGGATGTCTGTCAGGCATCCCAGTACAGATGTACTTAAAGACCCTGTCAGAAAAGGGTTATTTCCCCTCCTGCTGCTCCCACACACACAAACAAGGGAATAAATCAGCTTCTGTGCATAACCAAAGCTGAAAACTTGGGAATTGTCTTCAGCATAAACCTGTTCCTGTATCACTTGGCATCGTGACAGGGGTTTAAATTTCCCTCCAGTGCAGCAAAATACTGATGTACCTGCAAAACCAGGTAACATTCTCCTTTCTTGTCCCCAGTTACACTGAACTGTTCCCCTCTTCCCATGTTTCTGTGTTAGCACTCATTGGGAGTGAAGTATCTGTCTCCCATACAGCCCAACTTGCACAAACCTGTTGGCTGGAGGAGGAGCAAACCTGATGTTTCAGTGGTGTGTGTTGGAACCAGGACAGACATTGCCTAAATAGATCTTCCCTGGCGCGTCCCTCTTGCAAACTGATCCCAGCAGTGCTTTTGAAGCAAGAGGAGTCATGGATAATATAATCCAGGGTCTCTTCTCTGGGAGCAGAAGCAGGGATCGAGGGCTCCCCCAGAGGCCCTAGTTGTCCCTCCTGGTCCCTGTCTCTTACCTCCTGCTCCGGTCTCTCCTCAGCGTGGCACGATGAGGCGGCGTTACGAGGACGATGGCATCTCTGATGATGAAATTGAAGGCAAGAGGACGTTTGACCTCGAGGAGAAGCTGTCCACCAACAAGTTTAACTCCACCTTCGTGGTCTTCATGGAAGGCAAAGGTTTGTCCTGGGACAGGCTGCGCTGCTGCTGTCAGTAACCACACAGCTGCAGTGGCTGGCTGCTTCTCCATGGTGTGAAGCGACCTTTCCCTGTAGAAAGCCAGCAGTGCTCACAGTTGGATGTGCTCTTGTGCATCTGACTACACCCAGAGCTTCCCTGGCTGCCTCAAAGGGTGGTTACAAGGCAGTTGTGGTGTTAATGCAATCCTAAATCGTTTCCTGTGTTTTGCTACCTTTTACTTCCCGTCTTCCTGTGAAGTTGGGAAAACTGCTGTTCACACCAGTTCTGTGCTTGGAAACCGCTTTGCTCTCGTAACCTAAGTGGTGGGGGATGTTCCTATCTGCTTCCCCACAAGTCCTGTGCAGTTCCCAAGCAGTTGGAAGGTGATATGAGGTGTATTGTTGGAGTATTGACTCAAGCCTGCTAAGGGAGCTGATAACAGGGAGTGTGTATGGGAAATGGCATGGAATCCCCTCAGTCTGGAGAGCAAGGAGCCCATCTGCAGGCCTGCTGGGACACATGGCAGCCAGGAACAAGAGGGTTTGCCTGGGTCAGCACCTGTAATTGCAGCCACATGTCTACTAGATGCTCAATTCAGAGGCTCTGTGGGATCTCTCCCCTTTCTTTCACCATACATATGGCCCAGTGGGATGTTTTTTCATCACACAGCCAGTGCGTCCCTCACAAGGATTTACCACGAGGGAGGAGCATTCCTTCAGGGCATCTCTAACTTGGCTCAGAGCTTCTTGGGGAAGTGAGGACCAAACTCCACGCTATTCCCCCTGCCTGGTGCTGCTTGTTGGAGCAAATTCCCTCCTCCTTAGAGGCTCTGTTTGAGGTTTGTCAGCAGCACACACCATGCTGCTCACAGAACTGCCTCAGAGGAGTTCCGGGGTCTCCAAGAAGTGTAGAAATAGCAAGGAGCAGCACTTCCTTTTGCTGGTGAGCCTTGTCACAGGGACAAGAGTTGGTTCTCAGCTCTCAACTGCTCTGAACACCTCTTCTGAGTCTGAATTCAGCTTCCTGGGAGCAGAGTGGAAGTAGGGAGCTCCAGAGATCCTTTCTAACCTCACTTTGTCTCTAGTCCTCTGCAGGAATCTCCCCTAACACCTTCCCTTTGGTTTCTCACAGACTTCACAGTTGAATACATCCAGAGGGGTGGCCTGAGGGACCCTCTCATCTTCAGGAGCTCCGATGGCTTGGGGATAAAGTAAGTGCTAGGGGTGGATGACTCCTGATTTCCTGCCTCTCTCCCCACATTCTGTGGGATCTGATCCTGGTAGCTGGATCTGAAACCAGGTTGTTATGGCAGTGTCCTGTCCATACTGTTCTTTACCTGCAGTGAGAAGTATCTTCCACCTCAGTTATCCTGTTCTAACGAGTCTGGACTTAAAGTCAGAGCTGGCTGTAGGTGACCACAATGCAACTAAATGCCTGGAATATCCCACTGCTGCTCTGATGCAACATCTGGCTGGGTTCCTTTCCTAGTAATACAGCACCACTTGCCAGAGTCAAGCAATTTGTAGTATTTCTGGCATTTCCCAGCAGTTCCAACCTGATTTATCCAATGTGGTTACTTCTAAACTGCCATCTCTGTCTCTTGCTACAGTCAATCAAAGTTTACGGCTTGGAGTGTGAAGCTGTGCTGATGCAGGACTTTGTGCTGGTTTATGATGTTCATATAAATACACGATGGGGTGGTAGATGTAGTGTTAAGGCAAATAATGCTATAAAACATTACAGCTGGCTTTAAATAAACCTCAGACCTGATCTGATTGGATGTTTCTGCTGGGTCAGTGGGGTTTGGGTTTGGTTAAAGGGATAAACTAGCCTTTGTTGGAGCCAGCATCATCCGCATTGCTCTTAACTTCCTCAGCTGGCTGTGAATTGATGGGTAGCATCTCACCCAGTGCATGATGTGCTGTACTGGGGTGACTTAGATGGTACCACGCTCAGGTTTAGCAGCTGGGTGGTTTGGAAAGGCAAGGATTTGATCCTGAGGATTCCAGTGTGGGTGAACCTGGATTTCCTCTGAGCTTTTGGTGATTTCTCTGGGTCAAGAGCTGCTTGAATGGCTGCCTGCCCGTTCTGCCTGTGTTTGTACAGATAAGTGTGCCAGTACAAACAGGGAGAGGAGTTCTGCTGTGTCAGTGAAATACATCCCTTGTGCGGGTCTGGCCGTGCTCTTTATGTTGGGATAACTCATAGGAACAGTCTCTCAAATGAGAGCTGGGATTGCTTAGCTCAAAGCTTGCCAGAGCATTTGCCAGAAGCCACTACAAGAGCTCGTGCTCTGGAGATGATGTATCCTATTCCCAAATCTGCTTCCTTAGCCAGGAGTTGGGGCCCTGTGTTTCACCCCAGAGATCTGGTTTCATGCTCTTCACCCCCATCCAAGAGGAAGAGAAGCCCAGTAGCATCTTCAAGGTGCTAATACTGGGGTTGGAGGTGGGAAGGGTCTGCAACCAGAAGCATTTCATGATGTTTTAGCAAGGTGTTTGTCCTGCAGGATGCCAGACCCAGACTTCAGCGTCAATGATGTGCGGCTCTGCGTTGGTAAGTGTCCGGGGAGCACAGGCTGCCTCTGGTGTGCCCTGGGCAGATGGGGAGGGATGGGCAGAGTCACTGGGTGTATCAATGGTCTGGTACCAATGGGAGGTCTGGTTATGTGGCTTCCCCAGTGTGCCTGAGCCAGTGGATCACAGCTTTTACCTGCTTGAGTCCAGTTTGACCTGAAGCAGGTTCAGTTTCAGTGTGGGTATGGAAGAAGATGAAGTTATGGAGAGGCCAGAGCATCCCACTGTTGTGGGTGGGTTCTTTGAGGAGGTATCTTGTGTCTCCTGGAGCATCTCTTCTGGGTGGTCCATTGTGCCCAGGGATGGTTCCAGTGACGTCTGTCTGTCCCGGCAGGGAGCCGGCGGATGGTGGATGTCATGGATGTGAACACACAGAGGGACATTGAGATGTCCATGGCACAGTGGGCACGTTACTACGAAACACCAGAGGCTGAGAGGGAGAAACTTTACAACGTCATCAGCCTGGAGTTCAGCCACACCAAACTGGAGAACCTGGTGCAGAGACCTGCTACGGTGAGCATGGCTCTTCCTTCCCTTGTGCTTGTGGGCCTCTGTAGGTAAGGTGCAGCCTGGCATTGAGTGCAGGAGAAGAGCTGCTCGTAACATGCATGGGCTCAACCAGGGATGTCACTGCTGTGCTCTGGAAGCTGCTGGAGCTGATCCCGTGTCTGACATGGACCTTGTTCGCTGGAGCTGATCTCACAGTCAGCCCTAGCCTGTGCATCCTCATCCTATATAGGCAAGCCACCATGGTCAAGTCCTTGGTGTGTTGCTCTGTAGAGAGCTGACTTCTTCTGCGGAGAGCTCACTAGCTATCAGCAGCTAATGGATTGGCTATCAGCAATTAATAGGAAGGAATAATTAAAGGGAAGTAACCTGCTCCTGCTGGCTGCTGATCAAGAACAAGCACCTCAGTTTGAATAGAGAGGTTGTCAGGTTGGTGCTCAGCCACAGGGAACACTGAGGACAGGATGGGGATGCTGGCTTCCAGCCTCTCCCAGGTAGCCACTTCCACTGCCTGCCAAGACCTTGGCTGTCATTCAGTCTTGGGTCTGCCTTACATCTGTGTGCTTCACTGATGCTTGGTGTGGAGCCCTCTCCTGCATCCTGCAGCCGTGATCAGCTCCACTGTGGCAAGAGAGAGGTGGCAGTGGAGAGCAAGGGTGGACCTGCCATCATGTATGGGACAGCAGAGCTCAGCTGCGTTTGGAGAGAGCAGCTAAAGCCTGGATGCTGGTTGAGCTTTGAGGTTTTCCTGGTGTTTGGAAACCATGGTCCCATTAGGACACCAACCCTGTGTGCAGCTGGGACTCCAGAGGGTTCTGTGGTGTGGCAAGGAGGGGTTCTGGTGCCGAAATCTTGGAGGGCAGAGGAGGCCAAGACTGGAGCTGTGCTGGAAGGGGGCAGGAAGCAGTACGACAGTGGGAGACCAGGGATGGACATCCTGGACTCCCTCTGCAGTCGGGGAAGAGGAAGGGGCAGCTCTGTAGAGACGTTCACTTCTCCCTGTTAACTGTAGAGGGAGCCTGGACATCTCTGCCTGCTCTGGGGCTGTGCTGAAGCTTAGTGACTTGAATCTCACCCTGGCAGATTCTGCCCAGCATGGTTTGTCTATCCCCAGTGCATACCAGTTCCTGCCTAGCCCCTAAGTAGACAACCAGCATCCCAGTACCATGCTTGGGATCTTGCTGTGGTGTTTGCTGCTTGTGTGAAATCAGGGGGTCACTGTACAGCAACTGGCATCAGAGCAGCTGGTCCTAAAGCGCTTTATGTGTGGGATTGCACCAGTGCAATGGGGAAGGTTGCACATGAGAGCTATGGGCCTACCAGGCAGGCATAGGTATTTGAGCTTCTAGGACAGCCAGGGAGAGTACCAGAAGGGGTTACAGTTCCCCTGTCATCTCTACTCATGTCTCCCACCCTTCTTGCTGTAGGTGGATTTGATTGACTGGGTTGATAATATGTGGCCCAGGCACCTGAAGGAGAGTCAGACAGAGTCTACGAATGCCATCCTGGAGATGCAGTATCCAAAGGTGCAGAAGTAAGTGACTTCCTGAGCTGTTCCAGTGGTGGCAGGCGCAGAGCATCTCTTGCAAGAGAACTGCCTAAGGCAGAAGTGGTTTGTACCAAGGGGAAGAGGGAGGAGCAGTCTGTTTCAGTGGGTGACACTTGTAGGGATGTTGCAGGCGCTTATTTAAGCCCCTAACAAATGATGTGTGGAAGGGTGACACTCTTGGTGCTCACCACCTTGAAACATCTGGAGCCAGCCCAGCTGCTGAGCATTGCCTGTCCTGTCCCATAGGCCTGTGACAGGGGGTTTCTAGAGCTGCAGATGTGTGAGGATGAGAGCTCTGCTCTTGCCTGGATTAGATCTTTGTGTGGGGATGTGACATAACTGCAAAGTGAGCTCTCCTGCAAACCACCACCTTCCTGCAGCTCAGGTGCTTAGCACTGCAGTAATTGTGTGCTGGCACTGCTGTGAGTCTGGGTTTAGGCAGCCCATTCCCTTTGAATATGTTTTACCTGCTCTCAAATGTTGCTCACCATTCATTTCACCTTATCCCTTTCTTGTTCTCCACCAGATACTGTCTGATGAGTGTCAAGGGCTGCTACACAGACTTCCACGTGGACTTCGGTGGCACTTCTGTGTGGTACCACATCCACCGAGGGGGAAAGGTAGGAGGACAGTCCCTGTTGGACAGTTACAGATGCTTTAGGAGAGTGGCTTTTAGTCTATCCTCTTGTTAATCCTTGAGGGTGCAGGTTCCAGACAGCAAATTGAAGTCTTTCCATCCTAAACTGGTTGATCAGAGGTGCACCAGGCACAGACTGAAAACCTGTGCTGTAGGGATGATGCCAAGACAACCTTATAAAGAGCTAAAAGACACTGAGTAGAATAACCCAATCCATACAGGGCCTTGGCTTCTGAGAGGTGATTTGGCTGCATGGCTGATCACCCCTTGGTATGGCACAAATAGCACACTGGGAGCAGCAGCAAGCTGAAGAAAGGTAGTTAAAGATGGATGGAAGCCGCTCCTAAAGCTAAGCGTTTCAGGGGGTTTAAATAGCCAACATATACGTAAGGGGTCACCTTAAAACATGAAGTGACTTCAAAAGCAGAAGCATTTGAACTGAAGGTTACTGACAGAGTTTCACTGCAGAACAGTTGCATGGTTTCTGGTGAGAAGTAGCTCTGAAACAGTGTCAGGTTTAAGCTGTTCTCTGGAGTCGCTTCCTGGAGCTGAGCTCAGCCAAAGAGACTAAAAGCAAACCTCAGGCTTCATTGTGTTTGAGTCTCTCTGGTTGCAGCCTTTATCTGAGTGCAGTGTTTGTCCCCTGATGGGTTTCTTCCAGCTATAATTGTGTAGGGATTTCATACAATCATGGAATGGTTTGGGTTGGAAAGGACTTTAAAGCCCATCCAGTTCCACCCCCTGCCGTGGGCAGGGACACCTTCCACTAGAGCAGCTTGCTCCAAGCCCCTGTGTCCAACCTGGCCTTGAACACTGCCAGGGATGGGGCAGCAGCAAACTCTGCCCTACCTGAAGAATCTGGGCTTTTCACCCACCTTTCCTTGCAAAGGAGATGTAGCTGCCAGACTTCTGTTGATGGTTTGTGGCTCCAGTGCCTTCCCCTGAAGACCTAACAGTCTCTGAACAGCCTAGTTGGGGCTGGATAGCTCCTTGCCACCTGCATTGCATGGATCCAGACAGGCTTAAATCTCTAGTTCAGCTGTAGCTCTTACTAACATGGCAGAAACACTCAGGTGGGTATCTCTTTGTCTCTAATACTCTGGTGTCATTGGTGGGCTCTGTCTCTTAACACTGATAGGAACAAAACCTCACAAAGCATCCCAAGCTCAGTCTGCCTGTGGTGCTCAGTGAGTTAGGTTAGGAAAGATCTCACTCAGCAGCTTGCCCTCTCCAATGGGACATGTGTTCAGGTTGCTTTACTGGGAATGTCTCTGGATTTGCATCCTCTGGTGGGGAAAGGAACAGATTTGGATGTCTGGAGAGGGAGCAGGGCAGGTTTGGAAGAAGCAGGCAGTATTTAATAGCTGTCAGTTATGTTATGACTTGCATACACGTGTTATCTTCATCTGCAGATCTTCTGGCTGATCCCTCCTACACCGCAGAACCTGGAGCTCTATGAAAACTGGCTTCTCTCAGGGAAGCAGGGAGACATTTTCCTTGGGGACAGAGTGTCTGAGTGCCAGCGCATCGAGCTCAAGCAGGGCTACACATTTGTCATCCCCTCAGGTACCACAGGGTGGGCAGGTCCCTCCTGGCCTTTGCTGGGGTTGTGGCAAGAGACTAAAACTCCTGGGACACAAACTGGGAAGAGGCAGGATTTAGCTTCCTCTTCATGTAATTGGGAGAGGGAGATGTGACGTGGCTGCCTCCTCTTGCTTGCCAGCTCTCAAAACATGCCTGTCATGGCACTGTGGATTCAGCCCAAGTGATGGGAAAGCTGTGGCTGGCTCACATCGCTCTGGATAGTCACTAAAGGAGGCTTTCCCAGTGCTTTTCATGGTGACATGCAGAGTGGTGTCCAAGGCAGCACAGCTCCTCAGCCTCACAGCTTGTGAGATCACTGTACAGTTACAGTCCAGTTGTGAAGCAAGGAAGGGAGCCAGTGTGTGTGTGTGTGTGTGTGTGTGTGTGTGTGTGTGTGTGTGTTTAAGGAGCAAGGTGACTGCTCTGGGCACAAGGAAAGGCAATGAAACAGTCTGCATGTACTGGAAATGGGAGGATTGAAAAGCATATAGCTAGAAAATGGGATGTTGGAAAACACTGAAACCCAGCAGGGAGCTGAGAAGCAAAACCAGGGAGAGACTTGCAGGTAACTGCTTTGCAGAGAGCTTGGGCAAGGAGACTGAGGTTGGGAATGGGAACACTCAAGAGTTAAAAGAATCCTTTAGCCTGACTTGGTTTAGGAAGCAGAATAACTGGAGGGCATCAGCAGTATCTGCATGCACAGTTAGCTCAGTGCAGTGCTAGAGAAGAGCAGAGGCACAAGAGATGAGGCAGCTGAAAAGCAGCTCAAGTCGGTTGATTGCAAGGGCTGACCTTTTAGAACCTGGGATGGATGCCTGGGATGTCTGTAACTTGTTCCTCTTGCCCTAGGGAATAGTCTCTTGTCAGGAGAAACATTGTTGGACCCCTGCTAATAACTGTTGCATATAAATTGTGTCCATAAGACTGTCTCTGGTGTCAATGGCTGCCTCCTTACAGCAGGACCAGAACAGAAAACCACAGGGGTTGTACAAGTTACTCATTTGAGTCCTGTTATCACAACTGACGCTTCTTTTGAATTGAGTGCCCTTGCCTGAACGAAACCCAGGCTGCAGTACCCAAAACGTTGGGCTTGTCTGCATTGCTTGGCCCTGAAGGTAACAGAGCTGGAATTTGTATTCCTTGGAGGGTATTTTAACAGTTAACCAGCCTTTGGAAGACTGTTTCCTTCTTAGGCCTAATACAAGGCCTAAGCACCTTGTATTAGGTAGGTAGGCACCGCTCCAGAGGTAGGATGACAAAAAGCATTGGACAGGAGGTGGATACAGGCACATGGGCCACCATGAGAGGACAGATCCATAGGTGTATTGAAGTGCTTGAGTACAAGTCTGTCTCTAGCCATTAGTGGGATCAAGTGAGCTGGTATTGAGTGGTGCAGCAGTGTTTGAATTAGTAGGGACTGTCAGTTGTGAGACCTTGACCTCCCCCAGGATGCTTCAAGCTCTGCTTTCTCTCCAAGGTTGGATCCATGCTGTGTACACTCCCATGGACACACTAGTGTTTGGAGGCAACTTCTTACACAGCTTCAACATCCCTATGCAGCTCCGGATCTACAGCATTGAAGACCGGACACGGGTAAGGACCTGTGAGAAGGTGGGAGGATGTGTGCTCCTGGGGTGGTGAGGAGGGTACAGCCAAGAGCAGTGCTGTGCAGGCAGAGAAGTCATCTCCCCCTGGGACAGATGGCTCCACCCCCAGCTCTCTGTAAGCATAATGTCCAAGCCTCCTAAATGTACAGGTCTGGAGCAGAGCATGCTGTTGGCAAGCAGGTGTTCTTACTTGCACCTTGTGGAGATATGGGTCCTGCTGTGCAGAGAGGCTTCAGGGCTATGATGGACAGCCTGATGGCTTCTCCAAAGCAGTTTAGGGTGCTGCAGCAGGCAGGACTTGCGGGTTAGCACTCAGATGTCAGACCATCATCCAGAGTAGCTGAGACACAGGATGATGCAGGTCCGCCGTCTGAGTAGCCTCAGGAAGGTGAGAACAGCAGCAGGGTCAGGAGCATCTTCTGCCAGCATGTGAATTGCTGGCCCTGATGTGACAGAGCCCTGATAGCACTCTGCTAAATAGCTGAGCCTGGTTAAACCTCTGCATAGACCAACTCTTTCCCTTCATACCAATCCTGTCAGATGCTGTGCTGTGGTTTGGGAGGAGGTCTTGAACCTCTTCCCTTCAGCTGCAACCTTTTGTGGCACTCTGCCACTTCTTCTTGTACTGATGAGAAGGTCTGTGGGGGAAGAGCTGCAACCCTAACAAAGAGAAATGAAATGTTAATGGCTTGCAAGTGAATAGTGCCTGGTCTCTGCTCTGCTTGGTGATAACATCCTCCTGCAAGGAGAATTACATCAGGCTGCCAGAAGGATGAATGATGCTGTTACACATGTACATGCGTTTCCTGTCTCTCAGGAGGGGATCAGTCTGGTTTGAGGCAGCAGTAATAAATAAGAGCTATCTCTGTGCTGGTGGAGGAGGCCTGAGCCAACCCCTTTTTCCTCTCCTCTTTTGCAGGTCCCAAATAAGTTTCGTTATCCCTTCTATTATGAGATGTGTTGGTACGTGCTGGAGCGCTATGTCTACTGCATCACCAGCCGCTCCCATCTCACCAAGGACTTCCAGAAGGAATCACTCAGTATGGGTAAGCCCCCTGCATTGACCATCCAGCCATTATTCCTCCCTCACCTGTGTCAAAGCACCCTCCTGAAGGGGTGCTGGCTGGCTCAGTGGGGTGCTGGCCAGGGGAAGAATCACTTTGGAACCATCAATTCCTCAGTTTCACAAGGTGTTTCTGTGGGTGTTTCCTCCCTTAGCACTGTTTGCTGCACTGAGCAGTCAGGACAGCTGATGGTGTTGCAGACTGGCCAAAGGAGGTGCTATTTCTTTCTTTCTCTTTAAACAAGCAGTCAAAACCAGACAGTTTTGCTTCCTCTTTTGGTACAGGCCAGGTTCCTTTGCTTGTGTAAAACCAGCACACAAGTTCCTGCCCTTGCTGGTACACACAAAGCCTTTAATAGAAGAGGTGAAGGGAAGTTGAAGTCCCCACTGCTGTACTGTGGGGCAGAAATGCCTTCTGGCTGATCATGACCTTCCTCCACACAGAGTTTAAAGCACTGTCAAAGTTATGTGTGCAGGGAGTCTCTTGCAAAAGGAATGTTTGGCCTCCTTACAAGAGATGGTTTCGTACGGAGAGACCTTTCTTCAGAGCAGGAGAAAGCTGAACAGCATCCACCCAAGGCCCTTGAGGCAAATCCGTCCTCACTCCCCTCAGAGGCTGTGGTTACTGACCCGAGGGCACCTCTCCTCACAGCTACAGCCTCTTTGGGGCTTTCTGTCCAAGGAGCTCTAGCAGAGGGAAACAGCTCCCAGTTCTTGTCCTTTCCCTGTGGTTCCCTGAAGACCCCCTTCAGCACTTGGTTTGGGAAAGGCCATCTCTGTCCTCCTCCTGCCTGGAGGTCTCCAGCACCTTCATCACCTTTACCGCTGAGCAGTGTGAAGTGGGAACTAATGCAGGGAGCTGAGAGGAAGGGAGCAGGAGAGCTGTCAGAGACGGGTGTTTTATCGTGCACCATCAGGCCAAGAGGCCTCACAATCATCTAGTTAAAGTCCGCATCCTCTTTTTCCCACCGTGAAGGCAGGATCAAGGTCTCAAGTCACTCAGGACCAAATGTCTGCAGATCCCAAGCCCTCCAAAGCAAATCGGGTTGGATGGGGCTTCAAGCAACCTGATACCGTGAAAGATGCCCCTGCCCATGGGTTGGACTTAGATGATCTTTAAGGTCCCTTCCAACCCAAACCATTCTAGTATTGTATGAAATCCTATCTAGGGTGTTGCTGTCTCCAATTCTTGGATGTTTTCCTATGTCCTGTGCCTCGCCTTCCCACAAAATGAGCCAGGAATGGGAAAAGGTTTTAGCTGTTCTTTTCCAACTGCAGAATGTCCCATCCTTTCCTTCTGCTTTGTCCCCATAATATATCTGTTGCTCCAACATCTCTGATGGACTCCTCTAGAAACCCCTTCTGTGAGTGCCTGGCCACTGTGCTCTTCTCACTCCTTTTCCATCATGGCAGATATGGAGCTGAGCTCCTCGGACTCGGTAAACATGGAAGAGGAAGAGGAGGAGGAAGAGGATGAGGATGGAACAGGGAAGGAGCCCCGGCGACCGATCACAAGGAGGTCCATTCTCACCAGCCCCATTGCCAACGGTGCCAATGTGGACTATGATGAACTGGGCAAGAGCTGCCGGAGCAGCCTTCCAGGTCTGAAGAAGACCCCATCTATAGACTCTTCTGACTCCAGTCGGGGCTCCCAGAATGGCCAGGCCTGTGATCCCAATGGAGGCAGCCCACGCAAGAGCAGGAAGGTGCATCTGACCCAGTTTGAGCTGGAGGGGCTGCGCTGCCTCGTGGACAAGCTGGAGTCACTCCCCCTGCACAAGAAGTGTGTTCCCACCGGCATTGAGGATGAGGATGCTCTCATCGCTGACGTCAAGGTAGGGAGGTGTGATGGGGATGCAAGTTCCTTTGGTTGCCAGGGTGCTGGGATTGATCCTGACCTTATCTCGCCGTCCTGGATTGAGGGGGTGATGTGTCTGCAGACTTGGGGTCCTTCCTCTCCATGAGGCTTATATTGCACCAGTTGATGTTGAGGGACACCCATGGCTTGGATTTTGGGTTAGGGCTGAGCAGCATGGCTGAGACTCCTCTGGAGACCCTCTGGGCCCTGTCTGGGTCCCTTATGGGTGTCAGTGCAAGGGTGCTTGTCTGTGATGCCATTTGCGTCCAGTTCTGGCTGTGGACTCCTTGAGCTGCTGGACGCTGACAGTTAGAGCCCTTCCCTTGCCCCAGGTGGATTTGGTTTCTTTGGGTTGTTTGTCCAGGATGTGGCCTTAGGTAATGTGAACCTTACCCCTTCTCCCCATCCTGCTTTACACTGCTGAGCTGTATCTGCCAAACCTGTTGAGCTGCCTCCAGGAGCTGTCTCAGCCCTTTCAGCCTCACTCCTCCCCAGAAATCCAGTTTAGTCCCTCAGACCACAGTTACCACCTTCTCCCTTCCTTGCTGATGGTGATCTGCTCAGCTGCTTGCCTGTACCAAAGCTGTCATCCAGACACAGCCATGGGTGTATCCTGGTCTTTGCCGTCATGTTTCTTGGTTCCAGGTGCTGTCTCCTGACAGTTTTACGTGGTAAATCCAGTGCTGTGCTGTGTTTGGAGCAATGGGTGCAGCTTTGGGGTGCCAGGGTGAGCTGTTGTGTGCAGGCCAAGCTCTGGTAGAGCTAAAGGAGTGTGAGTAGGTGCTGCTGGAGGGCTGTGCTTCTGGCTTCCTGTGGCTTCTTTAAGTACTCAACACGTGTGTTTCTGAGCCACTGCAGTGGGGTGGCCTCACCCTTACTACAAACCGGATGAAGCTCTGGAGGAAGTCAAGCTTTGAGCTGTGTTTCATCCTTCTTGGACTGAAACAGGGAGGCCGATGGGGTGTGTTGGGTGTTTTGAAGACAGAACATTCAAGGTTGCCAATGTTCAGCTGGGTTTTGAGACCTGCTCAAAGGGCTTGGTTGTTGTGGAGCAGATGGATGTGCCTGTGGTTTTGATGTGACTCACCAGCCCCTGTCTGGTTGTAGCTCACAGCTGGGCTGTGGGTGACAGTCCCTGCAGTGTGGTCAGAGCAAACGGCTTCCCTGAAGGACTTGCACCTTAAAGCTGTTCTCAGGTACAGGAGGATCCTGAGCTGCAGGGCTCTGTTTCTCAGGACCAGCGGCCTCCCAAGTAAAGGCTGTGCTATGGAGGATCCTTGGGGAATGAAGATCCTTTATCAGGCTGCAGTGGCAGAGGAAACGGGACAAGTTTCTCAAACTACAGCAAATCTGCCTTCAAAGCCTGCCTTGTCCTTAGAGGGGGTGGAAGCGGCAAATAGAAGTTGGCTTCTAAAACCTGGCAAGGGGGAAGACGTTTGTAGCTAACCCTTTTATAACTGCCCTGATCACTGAAAAGCCCAATGAGTGAAGGTCTGGTTTTCAATATCAGCAGCTTGTATGGAGAACACCATCTCTATTTATTCTATTTTTTAAAGCAGGACAAGTTGTTACCAAGCAAGAGGTGTGAAGTTTCCATCTGTGCAACCATAGCTCATGATGTGGGATGTAGATCCTAAGCCAGTCAGGTTTCCTTTGGAAGCTTCCCTCCTCTGATGGCTGTTATGTTCTTGCACTCCCAGAGCACAGTCCTGCCATGGCTGTGTTTAAGCACAGCCCTTCCTTTCTCTGGGCTTGTTCTGGTGATCCTACCTTTCCTTGCTGCTCCTGGGAGACATAATCTTTGTAGGATCCCTCATGCTGCACTGCAGACCTGAGTCCTTTATGTTCATCTGTTCTTCCTTTTGTGCTAGTGGAGAATTAGACCCTACTCCACTTTCAGTGACTTAAGCTAAATGGAAACCATACATCCTACGCAGCATCTTAGCCTGACTCTGAGGCCACTGATCTGCACCAGGTACTCTCCCAACCTTTACATCTCAGCAGGTGAGGTCATCAGTGGACCTGGGATGAGGACTTTGGGAAAGACCTGCTCCCAAAGAAGCACAGAATCAACTCGGTCCCTCCAAGGGTCCAGTCAGCAGATGCTGTGTTGGTGGGAAGCAGGAAAATGCTTCCCTTTCCCACAGCCTCCTGTGTGGTCACGAATCCGGGATGTCTGTATGTTGGGTCATGTGAAGGAACACACTTCTGTATCTTGTCATGGGTTGAGCCTGGAGTCATCACGTGGTGGGATGTGACACTTTGGATATGACAAAGATGTGCTTCTAGTTCCATGGCAGGAGGGATTGTCCATCTGTTGGCACTTTAAACCCATCCTAGACAGGGCTGCATTGGGCATCTTGAACAGGAAGAGCATGTTGCCTCATCTAGCTTTGCCTTGGAAAGCTGCTGGTGTCACCACATCACCATCTCTGAACCAGTGACTGTGAGAGATGCTCTCCAGTGGCTTAAGTGAGAGGACCAGCAGGAGTCAAAAAGGCTTTAGCACTGCCCCAGGAGAAGATCTGCCCTTGCAAAATGAGGTTGAGACACATTGTTTTGTGGCACTGAAGTATTGCTGGAAAGCCTCCATGCATCTGGTGATGCTTCTGTGCATGGTCTGCACTGGGGTCATCAGAAAGATCAGTGACAGAGGCGGTTCTTCTGAGAGGCTCTGTTGTGTCTTGGTTGCTCCTGTCCATCACTTCTGATGGACCCACCTCTTGGGGTGTGCTGGTTTCCATCACTTGGACATCAAAGGAGCGGGATGGTTCACGAGGATGGGACCTGCTGAACTCAGGGGAGCTGAGCCTACGTTTGAACCATTCTCTTGCTGCAGGGCCACCAAACCCTGTGGCCTTGGTAGCTGTCACAAATGGGTTATATCTGGGCTCTGCATGGAGGTGGTGGAGCACCAAGCAAGAAGAACCTCTCCCAGACGTGCTTTGAGCTCATCTCGAAGCCTCCAGTGTGGCACTGCCCTCATACATGGCTCTGTTGTGTTGGGTCTCCCCATGATCAGAGGCATCTTCTCACTCCTCTGCAAACACATGTTGCTGTCCCCGTCTCCTCCTCCTGTAGGTCACATCTGCCTGAAGCATTCCCTGTGCTTCCTGCTCTCCTTTCCCTGCCCAGTCAATCTGCTGGCTGCAATTGGCTTTCCCATTCGCTGCAGTGCAATGGGACACGGAGAAGCCTTGGTGAGGAACAGGGGATGCTTCCACCAGGGGTGGATGAGAAAGGTCAGGGTGGCCTTTGAGCTGTGCTAACAAGGTTCCCCCCGGGTTGGGACAGCAGCACTGGTCTGCAGAGAGCCTGTGGGTGGTATTGGTGGCTCAGATGGTGACAGTCTGGACCCAGATATCTGGTCAAGGTACCTGGGGACAGGACAGATGAGCTGGAGATGCTGGAGATGCTTTGGCTGCACCAGGCGTGGGATCAGCCTCTGTTCTCCATTGCTGCTTTGGGCACTTGCTTCATTTCCAGCCTTCCCTTCATTTGAACTGTGGTGCTGTGTAGCTGGAGCTGGGGTCCTGGGGGACCTGGGTGATGGCTGGGGAGACCTTGTTTCACCCAGCGTGGTCGTCCCCATCCAGTGGTTGGGTCACTGATGGCTTTGGGACGCCAGCAGCTCCAAAGGGGATGTTTGTCGAGGGAGGCTGGGTGCTGTCCCTGCAGCCCCCACCTTCCAAAGGGCAGATCCCCCCCCGTGCCTTCACCTCCAACCCCTTTCCCCCCTCCCTCACCCCACTCCTGCCTCCGCGTGGCTCCCGCATCCCCCAGGAACCCCCCAAACCCACCTCGGCGAAGACAAAAGAAAGGCGGCGCGGGGGGGGGGGGGGGGTGTCCGAGCTCTTGGCTACGCTTTACCCTTGCCCTGGGGAGCCTGGTCCTGGGCTCGGGGCTGGTGCTGAGGGCTGGAGGTGGGCCCCAGCGCCCGTGTCCCTGCGCCAATCGGCGAGGCGCCAGCCGCCCGTGCCGGCCCCTCCCGGCGCTGCAGCAGAACGGCTCTGCCCTCTCTGCTCCAACGTTGCCTCGGTTTTTTTTTTCTCTCTCTCTCTCTTCTGCCATCTTCCCGTTGCAAAGCATTGCTGGGAACCGCATGTGGGTGACGCAGCAGCATTGTTTGAGGCTCAGGAAGCTGCCGCTGCTGCTGCCCAAAGGCTCGGGAGGAACACGCGGTTGCCGGGGCGGCTGCCGGAGCCCCGCGGCGAGCGGCAGCGCTCAGGGCCGGGGGTCCCGCTGCTCCCCCAGCCATGTCCCTAAAAACCGGGGGTCCTGCTTGGGGCCGCTCAGACTGAGGCAGCCCCTGGAGGGGGCCGTGTGGAGGGGGGGCACTCGGAACAAAGAGGGCTCGGCAAACTTCACCCCGGAGTCGCGGCAGCTCCAGAGGCGCAAGGTCAGGCGGGTGGCAGCGCTCCTGGGACGGGGAGGGGACGCGGGGACGCGCTCGGCACAACCAGGCTGGGAGGGGAGCGCGGGGGGGGGACGGGACGGGACACCCCTGTTTCCATAGCGGGGATCCTTGGCTGGTGCTTGGGCTCTCTCCGCTCCTCTCCCCTTCTGCCGGCTAGCACGTTCCGGCTGGGGGATGCGTGCGGTGCGCTCGCAGGGACCCCTCTGCTTGTCCCCATGGGCAGAGGGGACAAGGAGGCTTTTATCCACCCCCGATGCAGCCGGAGCACCCGGGTTCTCCGCCTCCGACAGCAGCCCCTTGGGACCCCCATGGCTGGAAATGTGCTTGAGCCACCACCAGCACCCCCACAGTGCTTCCGAGCAAGGGGGAGACTGCGGTTCCCTGCCCGTGCGTGTGATCTATAGGTTATATAGATGTATTTATATGTATTTATATATATTTTTATATATATATATATATATATATATATATGTGAGCCCCCAGCCCCTGACCTTTCCTTCTAGCGTGTGCTCATGGGAAAGGCTGGGGGGAGGCGGAAGGTCTGTAGGCAGCAGGGGAGCGGAGGGGGAGGCTGCAGCAGCTTCCTGCCTCCCGCAGCCCGCCGAGGAGGAGGGGGGGAACGCCGGAAAGCCAGGCTGGAGCCAGGGGCTTGGATACCCCCCTCCCCGCGGAGCTGGATACCCGGCGAGGGGGGGGGGGGGGCTCTGGCCCGGCCCTTGCCCTGGCCGTGCCTGGCAGCGGGAAGCAGCACCGGGATGCAGGCAGGAGGTTCCAGCGTAGCCATGGCAACGCCAAGTAAATAAAGCACCCAAATTCGGTGGGGAGGTGATGGAGGAGGAGGGTGAAAGGGATGGGGGAGCACCCATCCACCCCGAGCCAGGGTGCCAGCGTGCCTATCCGGTGGGTTCTGAGCATCCCTTATGTTAACGCCAAACCCTGAGGCAATGCAGGAGAGCAGCTCTTGGCTCCCCACAGCTTGTGCCAGGCTGTGGAGGGGCTGCTGGGGGACCGCATCCTGCCACCGCTGCACCCTCCAGCTGCCCCATGCAGGGGGAACAATGAGGACTGACCCTCCTGCATCCTCCCCTGTAAATCCCAATGGATTGCAGAAGCTTGGCACACTCTTCCCCCCCACCCCTGCACAGCACGGGGCCTCGGGGCTGAAATGCAGTTGATGAAAGCGCTGGTGCAGATCGACTCGACAGAGCTTGGCTGTGTGATGTGGGGAGGGATCGCTGCTGGCGGGGGTGGGATGGGGATGGGGAGAGCTCCTTCCCAGCCCTCTTGGAAGCATGTTGGCATCAGGTCAGAGCCCGCCTTGTTTCGTTGCACTCATACCTGTGCTTCTTGTCTCTCTGCTTCTCCCCATCTACCTCCATTAGCTGCTGCTAGAAGAGTACGCAAACAGCGACCCCAAACTGGCACTTACAGGCATCCCCATCGTCCAGTGGCCCAAGAGAGATAAGGTAGGAGCTGCACAGAGGGGACATGGGTGGGTGTTGTGTGTGGTTGAGATGATGACCTACCCTTGGCTGTTAATGGGATATGGTAGCACCACTTTCATACCTGCCTCTGGAGGCCAAGGCAGTGGGTGGAAAAGGAGCAGTGCCAGGGCAGGGCATGGGGTGCAACCAGCTCCACAGCCCTTTGTGGGCAGCGGTGGAGGTCTCCCACCCTGTGGTTACCCCAGCTCAGCCAGTGGATGGTAACTGGGTCAGCCCCAGCTCCTTCAGTCGTTCTCTGAGGAGCTGGAGCCTTGCTGTTGATGCAAGTGTGATCCTCTAAAGGGCATTCACCAGCAGCTCTCTGGCCCACCATGGAAGGCCTGGGTGGTGTGGGTAGTGCTGTGTGTCAGGTGAACGTATCCCTGTTGTGTTCCCTGAGAGATGAAGGGCAAGGGGAAGGAATGATGGTCAGCATCAACCCTGCCTGCCCAGCCCCTCACTGCTAGGTGAGCGTGTCCCTTGGGTCCCTGCCCCTGCCAGCACACTGCTGTGCTGCAGCATTGGCTCTTGCAACCCCAGGGAATGCAGCTCCCTCCCTGGGGGGTCTCTACCTGCAGGCAGCAGCCAGGAAAAGGATCTTTGGTTTTGCTCCTGCCCTTCCCTCCACAGCTGGGCCACAGATGGGCAGATAGAGGCAAGGAGCAGCCATTGTCCGGTTGGACTTCCCCTCTGCAGGCTGCCTTCCCATAGCCCACCAGCATGGTTCCTGTAGGTCACTGCTTCCTTCCTGCCAGGAGACAGGCTCATGGGCAGCCATATGAGAAGAGCAGCACCCCATTGCACTGGGGAGGGTGGATAACAATACCCTGTCTGGGTGTCTAGAGAGGGACAGCCCTCTAGGATTGGAGGTGCCTGTCTTTGCCTGCCCTGCCCAAGGGGATCCACAGTGATTTGCTGGTCCTTGAGCAGCACAAGCATCTCTGGAAGCTTTTTTGGGAGAAAAGACCTGGAGATGTCTGCATGCTTTGGATGCAGCGCTCAGATGCTTGGCACATGCCTAACCTTGTCTTTGTGCTGGGTTTTTTGGGTGCCTGCCCTTCCCCAAGCCCATCAGTTGTGGTGTGCACGCCAGCATTGCCCGTCCTGAAGGATGCTACAGCTCTGAGGGCTGATGTCTGCTGGAGAGCTGTGCTGTCCCACCTGCATCTTGTACAGGGGTGCTTGGGTGTCCTCAGCACACCTCAAACAAGTCAGAGGAAGAGATTCTCCCCCTCTGCTGTGCTCTGGGGAGAACCCCCCCCTGCAGTCCTGATCCAGCTCTGGGGCAGCAGCACAAGAGGGATGTGGAGTTGACAGAGGAAGCCATGGAGATGCTGTGAGGGCTGGAGCAGCTCTGCTCTGGAGCCAGGCTGAGAGAGCTGGGCTGGGGCAGCCTGGACAAGAGAAGGCTCCTGAAGGGGAGACCTGAGAGCAGCTCCAGTGCCTAAAGGGGCTGCAGGAAACCTGGAGAGGGGCTTGGGACAAGGGATGTAGGGACAGGCCAAGGGGAACGGCTTTAACCTGCCCGAGGGGAGACTGAGCTGAGCTCTTAGGCAGAAGCTCTTCCCTGTGAGGGTGCTGAGGCGCTGGCACAGGGTGCCCAGAGAAGCTGTGGCTGCCCCATCCCTGGCAGTGTTCAAGGGCAGGTTGGACACGGGCTTGGAGCAAGCTGCTCCAGTGGAAGGTGTCCCTGCCCATGGCAGGGATTGGAGCTGGATGAGCTTTAAGGTCCCTTCAACACAAACCAGGCTGGGATTCTACGACCAGAGCTCTTGCATCAGAGCTGGGCCCTGTCCCCTTGCACAGCTGCAGAGGGACCTGGGCAGCACACATCAAGGACCCCCTTTCCGGCTGCCTGGGTGGACCGAAGGAAAGCGCAGCTGTTCCTGGAGCACCACTTTTGAGCCTCAGCAGCCCTTTTCAGACCCACTGCTGACTCCTGATGGGGGGTGGGAGGAAGGAGAGCTCTTGGCTTGTGGCATGCTGGAGCATGATACAGGCTCCTTTGTCTGCAGAGAGGTGATGGAGCGGGGCTGCTGTCACGTTACCCGAGGGAGCTGCGGATCAGCGGCGTTCTGCTCCAAGCTGAACACTTTCTCACACCACTTCCTTCTCCGTTTCTCTCGGCAGCTAAAGCTCCAGGCCCGGCTGCGGGTGCGCCTGCCCACCATCCCCATCACCAAACCACACACCATGAAGCCAACCCCTCGCCCGACACCCGTCAGGTCCACAGTGTCTCCCATCGTGTCCGGCGCCCGGCGGAGGCGGGTGCGGTGCCGAAAGTGCAAGGCTTGCATGCAGGGCGAGTGTGGCATGTGCCACTACTGCAGGGACATGAAGAAGTTCGGTGGCCCTGGCCGCATGAAGCAGTCCTGCGTCCTCCGGCAGTGCTTAGCAGTGAGTCTGCGGCATCATCCTTTGCTGTGAAGTCCACTGGGAACTCTGTGTGGCCAAGCAGGGTTGGGCAGAGGAGGGCCATGAGGATGGTCAGGAGCTGGAGCATCTCCTGTATGAGGACAGGCTGAGAACATTTGGGCCCAGAAGAGAGTCTGCATGGAGATCTTATAGCAGCTTTCCAGTGTCTAGAAGGGGGCTGCAGGGGTGCTGGAGAGGGACTCTTCATCAGGAGCTGTAGTGACAGGACAAGGGGTGATGGATTCAAACTGAAACAGGGGAAGTTCAGGTTGGAGATGTGGAAGAAGTTCTTTATTGTGAGGGTGGTGAGGCCCTGGATCAGGTCGCCCAAAGAAGCTGTGAATGCTGAATCCCTGGCAGTGTTCAAGACTAGGTTGGACAGAGCCTCGGGTGACATGGTCTAGTGTGAGGTGTCCCTGCCCATGACAGGAGGTTGGAACTGGATGATCTTAAAGTCCTTTCCAACCCAAACCATTCCGTGATTCTATGAAATTCAGTTCCTGGGGGTTAGTTATCTCCTTCCCCATGATGCAGTGGGAAAGAGGAGGAGGAAAGGGGAAAAGCTGTCTCACCTTGCCCTGGTTTCGCCCCTGCTTTCCTTTGTAGCCCAGGCTGCCTCACTCGGTCACGTGTGCACTTTGTGGGGAGGTGGATCAGAACGAGGACTCGCAGGACTTTGAGAAGAAGCTCATGGAGTGCTGTATCTGCAACGAGATCGTTCACCCTGGCTGCCTGCAGGTGAGCTGCACGGGCACCGGGGAGGAGGGAGCCTGGCTGGGGGGAAGGCCTGGTGCTCACTTCCCCCTTCTCTTTGCAGATGGATGGCGAAGGGCTGCTCAACGATGAGCTCCCCAACTGCTGGGAGTGCCCTAAGTGCTACCAGGGTGATGACTCAGAGAAGGGACAGGTAGGAAGCGTGACCTCAATCCCACTGCATCCTGCTAGGGGTTGGGCAGTGGTGGGCTGCAGCTGCAATCCAGGGCAGCAGTGAGTGACAGTGGGGTCATTGGCAGTCTCCTGCTGCAGTCTGGTCCTGGGGTCTCACAGGGGGATGAGCTGTCAGCCCCCAGCTCTTTGTGCCTGGCTCCCCTGGCAGAAGCAGCAGGGGCAGATGGGTCCCTCTTGAGCCAGCAGGTGACCGTGTGGTGGCAGCCAGTGGCTGCCAGCACTGCCCAAGACACCAGCCTATGGCTGCTGCATCAGCTATAGAGCCCTGTCCACTGCTGTGAATGGAAGTGTGGCAGCAAAGGCAAGCCAGGCAGGGAGCAGCCTCCCTGGGGCACCTTCTGCTGAGTGATGTGCGTGCTTGGGGTGCACATCTGCCCGGTTCCTGGGTCCCCCAGTGCTTCATGCAGACGCAGTGAGCACCCCTTGTCCTTATGGTGCCTTGTGCTGAGCTGTGATCCCCAGAGCTTCTGCTGCAAGAAGCAGGGGACTGTTAGGCACAGAGTGGGAGCCATCCCAAACCTTGGGGACACCCCGTTTGTGAAGGGAGGAGGAAAACATCAGTTACTGATGCGGGTTGACTCTGGTCCTGGTGGTATTGCCAGCACCATGATGTTGCCCAGGAGAAGGGGACACGTTCCCCAGCCCCACCACAGGCTCCATCCCCACTAAGCTGCCCCCCCTCTTCCCCGCAGAAGCGGAAGGTGGAGGAGAGCGACGACGACACGGCGCAAGCCAAGGTGCTGCGGCCCCTGCGGAGCTGCGAGGAGCCCCTGACCCCCCCTCCCAACTCTCCCACCCCAATGCTGCAGCTGATCCACGACCCAGCATCACCTCGGGGCATGGTGACGCGCTCGTCCCCGGGAGCCGGCCCCAGCGACCACCACAGCGCCAGCAGGGACGAGCGCTTCAAGCGGCGGCAGCTGCTGCGGCTCCAGGCCACCGAGAGAACCATGGTGAGGGAGAAGGAGAACAACCCCAGCGGCAAGAAGGAGCTGTCAGAGGTGGAGAAGGCCAAGCTGCACGGCTCCTACCTCACCGTCACGCTCCAGCGCCCCACCAAAGACGTCCATGGCACTTCCATCGTCCCCAAGCTGCAAGCCATCACGGCTTCCTCCACCAACCTGCAGCACTCGCCGCGCGTGGTCATGCGTCACGCACCCACCAGGATGCCCCTGCGGGGCGGGGGTGAGGACGAAGCAGCCGCCGAGGAGGAGGAGGAGGAAGAGGAAGAGGAGGACGAGAACGCGGAGGAAGGGGGGGCGGCCCGGCTCAATGGCCGAGGGGGCCGGGGGCAGGAGGGCGACGAGAGCTGCATGCAGCGCGAGGTGTGGATGTCTGTCTTCCGCTACCTCACCCGCAGGGAGCTCTGCGAGTGCATGCGGGTGTGCAAGACCTGGTACAAGTGGTGAGTGTGGGGACGGGGAGGGTCAGGAGGGGGCAGCCCGTGTCCTCATCCCACCACCAGGCACGGCCGTGTGGGAAGGGGAGAAGGGATCTCCAGTCAGTGCCCTCCCTTTCCTCTCTGGCAGAGGTGCATCCCAGGCAGCGTTGCACTCAGAGCCTGCTGGCTGCTGCCTCTGCCATATGTGCAGTGGTCTGTATTGTCTCCTTCTGCCTTCCTCCTGTCCCCTCTGCTGGGTGGCAGAGGCAGGCTGTGCTGTCACCTGAGTACCCGTGTCCTTGCAAGGTGCTGATGCCCTTTCCTCTCCCGCTGCCCTTGTCCTTCCCTGTCCCTGCTTCGCAGCAGGCAGGGGAGGGCTGGCTGAGGCGGGGAATGGGTTTGCTGGCTGGAAACGCCTCGGGGGGCCGCAGGCCCAGAAGACAATGCTGGCACAGGGACAGCTGTGGATGGAGGGCTTGGGAACAGCCTGGAAACTGGGAGGTTTCTAACTGCTGAGCAGCAGGAATGGCACGATGGGAAAGGACCAGCCCACTTTTATCAGCAGTGGGTGGGAATGGTGTGTGATGGCTGGAGGAGAGCATCCTCTCCCCCCCTCACTGGGGTGGCACTTTCAGACTCACAGCGGAGCTGCCGTCGATTCCTGGGTCTCCCCACGTTCCCATGGGAGAAGAAGCCACCTCCAGGCTCTGTTGCAGTTGCTGGCACGGCAGCAAAACACTGTCGGAGCCATGGGGTGGAACCAGGCTGAATGTCTTGTCTGCTGGGAGCAGGGATGCTTAAGATCTTTGCTGTGGCAGGAGGAGCACCCAGGAGGGGGCAAACAGGCTGAGCTGCAACTCCCAGTCCTGTTACACGGCAGCAAAAGCCTCCTGGAGTTGTTTTGGGTGTCCCTGTATGGCTGGATATCCTCTCCTCGTGTTGGGGAGACCAGGCAGAGCAGCCTTGTTCTGCATCTGGGACCACACCAAGGCTGGGCTTCTCCTTCCTAAAGTCAGGCAACCTGCTGGCTGTCATCTCTTGCCCCACGGGGCTCACCTTGTCCTTGCCCCCAGGTGCTGTGACAAGAGATTGTGGACAAAGATCGATTTGAGCCGGTGCAAGTCCATCACCCCACAGGCGCTGAGCGGCATCATCAAGAGACAGCCTGTCAGCCTCGACCTCAGCTGGACCAACATCTCCAAAAAGCAGCTCACGTGGCTTGTCAACAGGCTCCCAGGTGAGGGTGGGATGGGATGGGGTCCCTGTCCCTGCTCCCAGGCTTCCTGATGGCTGGAGCCCAGCAGGAGACACCCTGGTGCCTGCATCCCTGCAGCAAGCAGCCGGTAGCGATGTGGTTTCCTGCTGCTCTCCATCAGAGCCCAGCTCTCTATCCCACTCCAGGCAGGGAGAGGAGCTGCTTTTTCCTGTGCTTGGAAAACAAAAGGGATGAGATCTGGGATGCCTTGGAGCTAACCAAGCCTGTCTGACTCGTTCCCTCTCCCTTGTGCTGTCAGGCCTGAAAGACCTCATCTTAGCGGGCTGTTCCTGGTCTGCGGTCTGTGCTCTCAGTACCTCCAGCTGCCCCCTTCTCAGGACCCTCGATCTTCGGTGGGCAGTAGGAATCAAGGACCCTCAGATCCGGGATCTACTCACGCCTCCCACAGACAAACCCAGTAAGCTGTTCCTGGTGGTGGTGGATGACGAGGGTCCCAATGGCTATGGGGAGCTGGAGGAGGGTGACCTCTTGGGCGCAGAGCAGGGAGGTGATGCTGGATCTGGAATACCCCAGCGCAGCCGGGTGGATAAGTCCCTGCTCAGCCTCTCCTCTCCCTCTGCAGGTCAGGACAATCGCAGCAAGCTCCGGAACATGATCGATTTCCGGCTCGCCGGCCTGGACATCACGGATGCCACGCTGCGGCTGATCATCCGCCACATGCCCCTGCTCTCCCGCCTCGACCTCAGCCACTGCAACCACCTTACGGACCAGTCGGCCAACCTCCTCACGGCCATGGGCTCTTCCACGCGCAACTCCCTCACCGAGCTCAACATGGCAGGTGGGTTCCTGCTCCGGGTGGCACAGGCTGGTCACAGAGGCATGCGATGGTTCGGGTTGGAAGGGGACTTAAGATCTTCCAGGTCCAATCCCCTGCCACGAGCAGGGACACCTTCCACTAGAGCAGGGTGCTTCAAGCCCCTGTGTCCAGCCTGGCCTTGAACACTGCCAGGGATGGGGCAGCCACAGCTTCTCTGGGCACCCTGTGCCAGCACCTCCGCACCCTCACGTGGAAGAACTTCCTCCTTATATCCAACCTGAACTTCCCCTGTTTCAGTTTGAGCCCATCACCCCTTGTCCTGTCGCTCCAGTCCCTAATGAAGAGTCCCTCTCCAGTATCCTTGTAACCCCCTTCAGACACTGGAAGCTGCTCTGAGGTCTCCATGCAGCTTCTCCAGGCTGAACAGCCTCAATGTTCTCAGCCTGGCTCCATACGGGAGCTGCTCCAGCCCCTGAGCATCCTCACGGCCTCCTCTGATTTGCTCCGACAGCTCCATGTCCTTCTTATGCTGAGGACACCCAGAGCTGCACCCAGTGCTGCAAGTGGGGTCTCACAAGAGCAGAGCAGAGGGGCAGGATCCCCTCCCTGAGCTGCAGCTCACGCCCTAGGGGTGCAGCCCAGCACCCAGTGGGGGTTCTGGGCTCTAGCACACACTGAAGCTGGGTCACGGGGAGCTTCCCGTCACACAACACCCCCAAGTCTTTCTCCTCAGGGCTCCTCTGAATCACTTCTCTGCCCGTCCTGTAGCTATGCTGTGAGCAGGACCTTGCACTTGGCCTTGTTGAACTCCATGAGGTTCACATGGTCCCACCTCTTCAGCCTGTCCTGGTCCCTCTGGATCCCATCCCTTCCCTCCGTAATGTGGATAGCACTGCATCGTTTGATGTTATCAGCAAACTTCCTGGTCCAAAGGTGGCCTGGCTGGACTTGCTGTCGTAAAGCACCTTCCTCCTCCCATCCTGACATGAGAGCTCAACTCGCTCTTCCTCTCGTCTCCTCCTTCCAGGCTGCAATAAGCTGACGGACCAGGCCTTGCTGTACCTGCGCCGCATCTCCAACGTCACCCTCATTGACCTGCGAGGTTGCAAACAGATCACCCGCAAAGCCTGTGAGCACTTCATCTCGGACCTGTCCATCAACAGCCTCTACTGCCTGTCCGACGAGAAGCTGATCCAAAAGATCAGCTAGAGACCCTCCCCGGGGCAGACTGAGGAGAAGGAAAAAGAGCCCATCCCACCCCTCTCGGAGAGCCGCTCCTCCACATCCCCATCCTTGCCCTCTGTGTCCTGCCGCTGCTTCCCATCGGACTCGGCAGGCAGGGCCGCTGCTGGCCTCGCTCCACCGTCCTTCCTCCTCCTCCTCCCCCGGGACTTCTGCCGATGAAGACGTCCCGCCAAGGCTGGCCAGTACCAGAGGAGGAACGGGCACATGGCAGGGAGCCTCAGCCCGGAGGCTGGCCGCTCCCAAGGTGGAGGTTGAAACAGAGATCTCTGTGCAGAGAATTGGGGCACCCTCTTCCCCCCCCCCCCCATCCCAGCTTTCCCCTTCCTCCCCGTTGTCTCCTTGCCTTGAAACACTTTGTCACTTCCCCGTTAGCACAAAGCTTGAGGGTCAAGGTCTCTCCGAGAAGCGGGAGCAGAGCTGGAACAAAACGTCCCCCTCCGTGCCACAACCAGGTCATCGCTTGCCCCTGCGCTCTCAGCCCCATCACTGGTCCCCTCATCCAGCTGCAGGGGCTGGGGTCCAAGCTCCTCCTTCTCGCACCGCTCTCCTGCATCCCGGTGGCTCTGACAGCGAGGACAGGAGCCCCACAGCACCGGCCAGGACTTGGGGAGGGGGGAGCTTTGCATCCTGCTCTTCCCATCGCCCGGGGAGGTGAGGCTGGGGGACAACGCGCTTCCACTCCGGGCCAGCGCCAGCCTTCCCGGAGCACCGCCTGTCCCCAGCGCAGCCCCGCACCGAGGCGATGGCCGGGGCCGGAGCAGGGGCCACCCTACAGGTACACCAGAGCTCAGGGAGGACTCGGGAAGCATCAGCCAGGGGTGAGTGAGCTCACGAACGAGGGGAGGACGAAGAGCTGCCTCCTCTTCCTCGCCACCTCCTCTCCGCGTGGCCCAGCATCATGAAGCACTCTAGGGGCCACCATGGCCATGGTTGGAAGGGGGGTGAAGGCTGCTCTGTCTTAACCTGGGGCGCTGCGGCCTGGGACCGAACTGGCACGAATGTCCCCGCTGCATCGTCCTCTCTCCTTCCCCTCACCCCACTTTTCGCTGCCGTTTTTCCTTTGCAATGAATGGTCGGTCCAAAGAACCTCTCTCTTGGGCAGCAGAGAGTTTTTTGCACTTTAAAAAGAAAAAAAACAAGCAAACAACAAAAACAAAAAAAAAGACAAAAAAAAAGACACAGGAAAAAAAAAAGAAAAAGGAAAAAAAAAAAGTTGGAATCTTTTTTTTGTTTGTTTTTTTGGGGGGTCACTGTTTTATTCCCCCCCCTGTGACCGGACGCTCCCCATCTCTCTCCTGGTGTCAGGACCCTGCTGGCCCCAAGTCTGGCCCCATAGCACAACCCAGCCTCCCCCCTGATACCCCCTCTCAACCCTGCAGAGGACAACAGCCAAGGGGGGGGATCCCCACTGCTTCAGAAGCAATAAGGGAGGAAGGAGACGCCTCCATCTGTCCTCCGCTTCCCGGCTGCTGGAAAAGGGGGATGGATGCAAGGAGCAACGAGAGGGTTGTGCCGCGGGGGGAGCCGGAGGGCTCGGAGCAGCCACCGCGGCTCCGGGTGTGAGGAAGAGCGGAGGCCGCCCTGCCTTAGCCTCCTTTGGGAAGGACATATGGAATCTCCCGAGCTTTTCTTTTTCCTTTTGGATTGAGGTTTTTGGTTTGAGTTCTTTTGCAACGAGAAAGAAAGAATTCCAGGCTGGGATCGAGCTCGGCCGGAGCCGGTGGGCGCAGGGACATCCTCCACCATGGCCATGGTTGGGGTTGGATGGAGGGGCCGTAATCCCCTTCATCATCCTCCTCCCGCATGGCTGCAGAGACTCCGGTGCGCGGCCCTCATCCCCCTTCCACTCCTCGGGCAAAAGGGGGAGGAAAATCCATAAGGAAGAGAAAGAAAAAGAATTATATATATAAAAAGAAGAAAGCAATCACGTAGTGATTTAAAAAGCACCCAGACTGCTCCCTCAAGACAACCCCTGCAAGAAGAAGTCATTGTTTAAAGGGTTTGGTTGTGTTTTGGTTTCGTTTCAATTCCCACCCTCCTCTTCCTCCCCCTTCCCAATTTTTCCCCCCCATTCCATCCCCCCCCCCCCCCCCCCTCCCCCGGAGAAATATTGTAAATATCTATTTTTTTGTTGGCGATTTAGAGTCCATCTCTGATGTTTGTGCTTTAAAATTAAATGTAAGCATTAAGGGTAAAAAGCAAACCACGTCTGGCCCTTCTCTCAGTCGCCTTTGGGGGGGTTCTGATTCCCTGAGCCCAGGGATTGGTTTCGATCCCGTTTTAGTGGGAGGTTTTGATTGGGTTTTCCCTTGTTTTCCCTTCCAGTGGTGGGGTTTAGGAGAGGATCGTCGCTTTCATGAACACGGGGATGGGGGAAGGAAAATCCCAGTCGCTGAAGGGGAATTTTGTTTCTTGGGATGGATTTTTTTTTTTTTTTTTTTGGAATAAATTAGGAGAAAATGGGGGGAAAGAAAAAAAAGTAAGGAAATATCCAAATCCTGCATTTTGGCTCTGCACATTGTCCATGGGGGAAGTGGAGGGGATGAGATTGGAGATCCCGGCCCTTTGCAGGGACTTCTGGAGCATTCTCTGATGGTTCATAGCATCCATGTATCCCTGTTGGGTCGGTGGCAGCCATCCCCATGTCCCCATCATTATTGGGGTATGGTGATGGTGCTTGTCCCTATGTCCCCATTATCTCTTGGGGAATGGAGGTGGCATCTGTCCCTGTGTCCCCATCCTCCCTTAGGGAATGGTGGTGGCAGCCATCTCTGTCTCCATTATCTCTTGGGGAATGGAGGTGGCATCTGTCCCTGTGTCCCCATCCTCCCTTAGGGAATGGTGTTGGCAGCCATCTCTGTCTCCATTATCTCTTGGGGAATGGAGGTAGCATCTGTCCCTGTGTCCCCATCATCCCTTACGGAATGGTGGTGATAGCCATCTCTGTGTCTCCATTATCTCTTGGGGAATGGTGATGGCAGTGATCCCTGTGTCCCCATCATCTTCTAGGGAATGGAGCTGGCAGCCATCACAGTGTCCCTGTCATCTGTGGAATGGTGGTGGCAGTTGTCCCCATGTCTCCATCCTCCCTTAGGGAATGGTGGTGGCAGCCATCACAGTGTCCCTGTCATCTGTGGAATGGTGGTGGCAGTTGTCCCCATGTCTCCATCCTCCCTTAGGGAATGGTGGTGGCAGCCATCACAGTGTCCCTGTCATCTGTGGAATGGTGGTGGCAGTTGTCCCCACGTCTCCATCCTCAGGGAGTGGTGGTGGCAGCCATCCCTGTGTCCCCATCACCTCCTTCCCCACCCATGAGCCTAGCGGCAAGAGGCTGTTGCCCATCCCTTGGGAATACCCCTTGCTCCCGGTGGACTCCAGGGCTGCTCCCCTGCTCACCTCCCAACCGGAGCTGTCTCTCTATAGCACCCGTGTTGGAGCAGGATTCCAACCTCTGCCTGGCAAAGAGCGGGCAGGGAATGCAGGCAGGGAATGTGGGCAGGGAGCACAGGCAGCTCAGGGGCTGGCTCTGGCTCCATCTCCCCGTGTTGGCCAAACCAAAGGGATTTCCCGGCTGGGATCAGGCCCACAGGGATGTGCCGGCAGCATTCCATGGGGATTTGTTCCTCTCCTCCCTGGTTTAGATGCCAGGAGCGGGGCCGGAGCAGTACCACATTGGTGAGCGTCGTGCACGGGGACACTGGGGCTCTCACACGTGGTTGCACTGCCTGCTGCGTGGTGCCACGTGTGTGGTCACACACGCACGCGGTGTGACAGGCGGAGGGACACACGTGGGGTCACGCACACCTGCGGTGTCACACATCCGCAGCGTCGCACTCGGCATGGCACACACACGGTGTCACACACACGGTGTTCACTCAGTGTGACAGAGCCAGTGTCACACACATGATGTCACACACGTGATGTCACATATGTCATACACGATGTCACATGCATGATGTCACACGTCATACATGTCATGGTGTCACATGATGTCACAGTCACGCAATGTTGCATACATCACACGTGATGTCACAGTGTCACACACACGTCACACTCATGATGCCTTACGATGTCATACACATGTCACATATGCATGATGTCACACACAATGTCGTACACGTCACAGTGTCACATGATGTCAGTCACATGATATTACATGTCACACATGATGTCACAGTGTCACATCACACACATGTCACACACACGATGTCACACAAACGTCACACGATGTCACACATCACATGATGTCACGCACACGTCACACAATGTCACACACTCACACACACGTCACACAGTGTCACACGATGTCACACACATGATGTCACACACACAATGTCACACACACATGTCACACACACGATGTCACACACGATGTCACACACACGATGTCACACACACGATGTCACACACACACACGATGTCACACGTGTCACACACGATGTCACACACACACATGATGTCACACACACGATGTCACACACACATGATGTCACACACACACACACGATGTCACACACACACACGATGTCACACACACACATGATGTCACACACACACACACGATGTCACACACACACACGATGTCACACACACACACACGATGTCACACACACACACGATGTCACACACACACACACGATGTCACACACACGATGTCACACACACACACGATGTCACACACACGATGTCACACACACACGATGTCACACACACACGATGTCACACACACACACACGATGTCACACACACACGATGTCACACACACATACACAATACACACACACACGATGTCACACACGCGATGTCACACACACACGATGTCACACACACACACACGATGTCACACACACACACGATGTCACACACACATACACAATACACACACACGATGTCACACACATGATGTCACACACACACAGATGATGTCACACACACACACGATGTCACACACACACACACGATGTCACACACACACACGATGTCACACACACACACACGATGTCACACACACACACGATGTCACACACACACACACGATGTCACACACACGATGTCACACACACACACGATGTCACACACACACACACGATGTCACACACACACACGATGTCACACACACACACGCGATGTCACACACACACACACGCGATGTCACACACACAGATGATGTTACACACACACACGATGTCACACACACACACGATGTCACACACACGATGTCACACACACACACGATGTCACACACACACACACGATGTCACACACACACACACGATGTCACACACACGATGTCACACACACACACGATGTCACACACACACACGATGTCACACACACACACACGATGTCACACACACACACGATGTCACACACACACACGCGATGTCACACACACACACACGCGATGTCACACACACAGATGATGTCACACACACACACGATGTCACACACACACACACGATGTCACACACACACACGATGTCACACACACACACACGATGTCACACACACACACGATGTCACACACACGATGTCACACACACGATGTCACACACACACACACGATGTCACACACACACACGTGATGTCACACACACACACGCGATGTCACACACAGATGATGTCACACACACACACGATGTCACACACACACACGATGTCACACACACACACGATGTCACACACACACAGATGATGTCACACACACACACACGGTGTCACACACACACGATGTCACACACACACACAGATGATGTCACACACACACACGATGTCACACACACACAGATGATGTCACACACACACACGATGTCACACACACACACACGATGTCACACACACACACAGATGATGTCACACACACACACGATGTCACACACACACACACACGATGTCACACACACACGATGTCACACACACACACACGATGTCACACACACACACGATGTCACACACACACACACGATGTCACACACACACAGATGATGTCACACACACACACGATGTCACACACACACACACGATGTCACACACACACACGATGTCACACACACACACACGATGTCACACACACACAGATGATGTCACACACACACACGATGTCACACACACACACACGATGTCACACACACACAGATGATGTCACACACACACACGATGTCACACACACACACACGATGTCACACACACACAGATGATGTCACACACACACACGATGTCACACACACACACACGATGTCACACACACACACGATGTCACACACACACACACGATGTCACACACACACAGATGATGTCACACACACACACGATGTCACACACACACACACGATGTCACACACACACAGATGATGTCACACACACACACGATGTCACACACACACACACGATGTCACACACACACACACGATGTCACACACACACAGATGATGTCACACACACGTCACACGACGCCGTTCACACCCGCCCGCCGGTGTGCCGGCCACGCACGCCGCTGCGGGCGGGGCGATGGGCGGGGCTTCCCCTCCGTGGCCCCGCCCCTCCGTGCCCCGGGGCGGTCTCGCGGCGGGCGGGCCGCGCGCGCTCCCTGAGGCGCCGCTCCCGCCATGGCCCCCCCGCCCCAGCGCTGAGCCCCGGCGCTGCCGCTGCCGCCCGCACCGCACCGGGGGGGTGGGGGGGTGGGGGGGGGGGGGCAGTGAAAGACGACGACCGCGCGTGTCCCGGTTCCGGTTCCGGGGCTCGGTTCCGGTTCCGGGTCCGTGCGGGTCGGGGTCCGGCTGCGGGTCCGGTCCGGTGGCGGTGGTGGTGGTGGGCGGCGGGTCCGGCGGCGCGGCGCAAGATGGCGGACCTGGAGGCGGTGCTGGCGGACGTGAGCTACCTGATGGCCATGGAGAAGAGCCGCGCCGCGCCCGCCGCCCGCGCCAGCAAGAGGATCCTGCTGCCCGAGCCCAGGTGAGAGCGGCACCGGCACCCGGACACCACCACCACCACCACCCCCCCACCTCAGACTGCCCCGGCCCGCTCCGGTGTGCGCCGACACCACCTCGGCTCGCACGCGCAGCCCTGCACACGCCTGTACGTGTGTGTGTACGTGTGTGTGTGTACGTGTGTACGTGTGTGTACGTGTGTGTGTGTACGTGTGTGTGTGTGTACGTGTGTACGTGTGTGTACGTGTGTGTGTGTATGTGTACGTGTGTGTGTGTGTACGTGTGTGTGTGTGTGTGTACGTGTGTACGTGTGTACGTGTGTGTACGTGTGTGTGTGTACGTGTGTGTGTGTATGTGTACGTGTGTGTGTGTGTACGTGTGTGTGTGTACGTGTGTGTGTGTATGTGTACGTGTGTGTGTGTGTACGTGTGTACGTGTGTACGTGTGTGTGTGTGTACGTGTGTGTGTACGTGTGTGTACGTGTGTACGTGTGTGTGTGCATGTGTGTACGTGTGTGTGTGTGTACGTGTGTGTGTGCATGTGTGTACGTGTGTGTGCATGTGTGTACGTGTGTGTGTACGTGTGTGTGTACGTGTGTGTGCACGTGTGTACGTGTGTGTGTGCACGTGTGTACACGTGTGTACATGTGTGTGCATGTGTGTGTACGTGTGTGTGCACGTGTGTGTACGTGTGTGTGCATGTGTGTGTACGTGTGTACGTGAGTGTACATGTGTGTGTACGTGTGTACACGTGTGTACGTGTGTGTACACGTGTGTGTACGTGTGTACATGTGTGTGTACACGTGTGTGTACATGTGCGTACGTGTGTGTACGTGTGTGTACAAGTGTGTGTACGTGTGTGTACATGTGTATGTACGTGTGTGTGTACATGTGTGTACGTGTGTGTACGTGTGTGTGTACATGCGTGTACGTGTGTGTACAGGCGTGTACGTGTGTGTACATGCGTGTGTACGTGTGTGTACACACCTGTGTGTCCATGTGTGTACAGATGTGTGTCCGTGTGTGTACACGTGGTTCTGTGTGTACATATGTGTGCCTGTATGTACACACATGCTTGTATATGTACACACGTGAGCGGCTGTGTGTGTACATGTGTGTCTGTGTGTGTACTCACGTGAGTGGCTGTGTGTGTACATACCTGTGTGTCCATGTGTGTACACACGTGTGCCCGTGTATGTACACATGCGTGGCTGTGTGTATACACACCTGTGTCTGTGTATGTACGCACATGTCTGTATATGTACACACGTGTGGGCCTGTTTATGTACACATGTGCCTGTTTATGTACACCCGTGTCTGTGTATATGCACATGTATGTGTCTGTGTACACATGTGTGTGCCTGTATATGTACACACGTGTGTCTGTATGTACACATGTATGTGTCTATGTGCCCATGTGTGTGCCTGTATATGTACACACCTGTGTTCCTTTGTATGTACATACATGTGTGTCTGTGTATGTATGTACATATGTGTGTGCCTGTATATGTACACACCTGTGTGCCTGTGTATGTACATACATGTGTGTCTGTGTATCTATGTAGGTATGTGTGTGCCTGTGTATGTACATATGTGTGTGCCTGTGTATGTACATATGTGTGTGCCTGTGTATGTACACACCCGTGTGTCTCTGTATGTACACGTGTGTGCCTGGCAGTGCTCAAGGGCAGGTTGGACCCAGGGGCTTGGAGCAAGCTGCTCCAGTGGAAGGGGTTGGGGTTGGAGCTGGAGGAGCTTTAAGGTCCCTTCATCCCATCCCATCCCATCCCATCCCATGATGCTGTGGGTCTGGGTCTATGTTCACACTGTGCACTTTAGCGCACACATGGAAGGGCTCAGCACTGGACTCTGCCCTCCCTCTGCACACACACATGCATGCATGCACATATGCACACACACACATGCACACATGCATACACACACATGCACACACATACATACACATACACATTCGCACACATACATACACAGACATACACGCGCATACACGTGCACACACACCTGCACACACAAATGCACACACATGGACATGTACATACACACACATACACACATGCACACACGCATGCACACACACACATACACATGTACACACACACATACACACACATACACCCATACATACACATACACACATACACACACACACATACACCCATACATACACATACACATGTACACAGACACACACATACACATACACACATACACACACACATACACCCATACATACACATACATACACATACACACATACACATGTACACACACACACATACACATACACACACACATACACATACACACACAGAGACACATGCACACACACCCATACACACACACACACCCATACACACATACACATGTACACACAAACACGCACACACACCCATACACACACCCATACACACATACACACGTACACATGTACACACAAACACACACACACATGCACACACACACACCCATACACACATACACATGTACACAAACACATGCACACGCACACACACCCATACACACATACACATACACCCATATACACACGTACACATGCACACACACCCATACACACACACACACACATACACACGTACACATGCACACACACCCATACACACACACACACACGTACACACGTACACATGCACACACACCCATACACACACACACACATATACACACGTACACATGCACACACACCCATACACACACACACCCATACACACACATACACACGTACACATGCACACACACCCATACACACACACACACACACCCATACACACACATACACACATACACACGCACACACTCCCATACACACACACACACCCCCATACACACACATACACATGTACACATGCACACACACCCATACACACACACCCCCCCCATACACACACATACACATGTACACGCATGCACAGTGTTGCTCCCACCCCACCTTCCTGTTCCCAGCTTCCCTTTGCACACCCAGCCCACGCTGCCCTGTGCCCAACCCAAGGCAGGGAGCCCGTGCCAGCAGCACAGCACCCTCGCCCTGCCCAACAGCCTGACACAACACCCGCAGCACACCCAGCCTGTCACACACACGCACCCGGGCACCCGCTGCCAGACCCCCCTGCTCTGGGGCTGAGGGCACCGATGGGCACCACTGAGACCCCACTGCCCTCACAGGCACCACAGGGCCTCGGGCATCCCTCCCTTAGGCCCCAGTGCCTGACCCTTACCGGAGCCCAGCGCCATGGGGCACCCGCACCGGAGGGGAGGATGCTCGTGCCAGCGGGGATGGGGACGTGGGAGAGGAGGGGCACGGTGGGTGCATGGGGGTGTATTTGGAGGGGCACAGGGGGGGCTGATCCCCTCCGGTGCCCCCCCCAAGCATCCGCAGCGTGATGCAGAAGTACCTGGAGGACCGGGGGGAGCTGACGTTCGACAAGATCTTCACGCAGAAGATCGGTGAGTGGGGACCGGGGGCACTGGGGGGCACTGGGAGCAGTGGGTCGGTGGCACCCGTGCCAGTGGCCGTGGCTGCTGCCCCTGGCAGGGCCTAGGGGAGGTGAGGGGCTGTGGCGGGGCACTGGGGGCTGCGTGACACAGCCCCACGGCCCCCCTGCCCCCGTCACTTCCCCAGCGCAAACCGTGCGGGGCAGGAAGCGCCTCTCGCTTCCTCCCACTGGCTCTGGTGGTTTCCGGGTACGTCCGCCCCATGGCAGCCGTTCCACAGTGCCCCTGCCCCACTGCAGCCACGCTGCAACCCTGCCCCACTGCAGCCACACTGCAGCCACACTGCAACCCTGCCCCACTGCCCCACTGCACCCACACTGCAACCCTGCCACACTGCAGCCACGCTGCAACCCTGCCCCACTGCCCCACTGCACCCACACTGCAACCCTGCCCCACTGCACCCACACTGCAACCTTCCCCCCCCTGCAGCCACACTGCAACCCTGCCCCACTGCACCCACACTGCAACACTGCCCCACTGCACCCACACTGCAACCCTGCCCCCCTGCAGCCACACTGCAACCCTGCCCCACTGCAGCCACACTGCAACCCCTGCCCCACTGCAACCCCATACCACTGCCCCCCTGCAGCCACACTGCAACCCCTGCCCCACTGCACCCACACTGCAATCCTGCCTCACTGCACCCGTGTGCCACTGCCCCCCTGCAGCCACACTGCAACCCTGCCCCACTGCAGCCATACTGCACCCCTGTGCCCCTGCCCCACTGCAGCCACACTGCACCCCTGTGCCTTTGCCACACTGCAGCCACACTGCGCCCCTGCCCCACTGCAACCACACTGCACCCCTGCCCCTCTGCACCCCTGTGCCTTTCCCGCACTGCGGCCACACTGCGACCCTGCCCTACTGCACCCCTGTGCCCCTGCCCCACTGCAACCACACTGCACCCCTCTACCCCTGCCCCACTACGACCCCATTGCATCAACGTCTCCACCACACCCCTGCCCCACAGCGACCTATAGCACCCTGTGCCCGCTGGTGTCTTTGTCTCTGGTTCCCTCCTTGGCACTTCCCCAGACCTGCTGTGGGGGTGGCTGCGGGGACCTTCAGGCCCAGGGGACATCCCTGTGCCCCTTGGCCTGTGCTATGGGGCACACAGGGCCGCTGTGGGGCAGGCAGCTCTCACACATGGCTCTGTCCCTGCCAGGGTACCTGCTCTTCCGGGACTTCGCCTTTAACCAGGCAGAGGAGGCCAAGCCCCTGATGGAGTTTTATGAGGAGGTGAGATGGGGGGGACCCATCCCGACGAACCCCATCTTCACAAGGAGGGTTTGGGGTGGGATTTGGTACCTACGGGGTGCACTGCCATGGTACCAAGAGCATGCAGAGTACCCAAGGGACACCCAGAGGGGCCAGGAGGTGATGCTCTGGGTGCCCAGGGGACGTGGTGCCCAGATGAGCTGGGGCCATGGTCCCCTGGGCTGTGCCTGCCCGGTGTGGGGTGAGGGTTGGCCCCCATGGCGCGGTGCTGTGCCCCTGTGCCACGGGAGCTGGGTCTTTGCCAGATCAAGAAGTATGAGAAGCTGGACTCGGAGGAGGAGCGGAGCACCCGGAGCCGCCACATCTTCGACCATTACATCATGAAGGAGCTGCTGGCCTGCTCCCATGTGAGTGCGGGGATGCTGGGGGTGTCCCCAGAGCAGCCGGGAGGGATGCACCCATGGGTCTGGTACCCAGCGTCTTCAGGTGGAGCTCCCAACCCATCCCTGACTGTGCTGGGAGACACAGACCCCTATGGGTGGGGGCTCCTCCGTGGGTTCCCTTCCTTGCGCAGCCCTGCCTGGCTCCCTGGGGGCTGTCTTATCCCTGTGCCCATCAGCCCCGGGTGACACGGCCCCATCTCACCCCACAGCCCTTCTCCAAGAGTGCCACGGAGCACGTCCAGAGCCGCCTGAGCAAGAAGCAGGTGCCCCCGGACCTCTTCCAGGTGGGCATCACCCGGGTGGCCCTGACACCTCTGCTACCCCAGGGGTTGGTTACCCCGTCCAGGAGGCCGGGGGTGATGGGACCCCAAAGGATGGTGAGGGGGGTCCCAGTAGATTGGGAGTGAAGGGGTTGCTGGGGGTAATAGGGGGGCTGCTCAGAGGATGCTGACTGGGACCCTGGACCTAAAGGTGACCTGGGGTGACAGTGGGGAGCCCAGGGCCTGGCAGTGGCGGGGTGGCAGTGGGGATATGTGACATCTACGGAGAGGAGGAGACCTCACGTAATGATGGGACCTGAGGGGTACAGGGGTGCCCTGGGTGGCCCCGAGCACCCATCACTGAGCCCTGTGTCCCCCCAGCCTTACATTGAGGAGATCTGCCAGAACCTGCGGGGAGGCATCTTCCAGAAGTTCATTGAGAGGTGAGAGGAGGGAATTCCCGCATGGATCCGGGTGTCCCATCCCACTGTCCTGGCCCAGAGAGGGACCAGGGGGTCCCTTGTTAGGCTGAGCTTCGGGGGTGTCTATCCCTAGGCCAGGGACCTGGGAGACCCTTCTCATCCCCATGGGTCTCTCTGTCCTCACACAGGGGTCCCGGCGGGTGCTGCCTGCCCCCAGGGAGATGGGTCTTGGGGTTGGGGTTCCTGCAGGGGCTCCACTCCTGCCCTCTCTGTGCTTCCTTGCAGTGACAAGTTCACACGGTTCTGCCAGTGGAAGAACGTGGAGCTGAACATCCATGTGAGTGGGGGCACCTGCGCCTCAGGGTGGGGGGCACGGGTGCAGGGGCACCCTCACACCCCCCCTTGGGCTCTCAGTCACCCGTGGCTCTTCCACATGAGGACACGAGGAGCAGCCTCCGTGTCCTCACCCCGGGAAGCTGAGGCAGGGTGTGAGACACCATCACCATGAGCACACCCGGCTCTCGGTGCAGGGCAGGTCCTGCAGCACCCCGGTGTCCACGCTCACCCCCATCTCCTCCTTCCCCACCTCCAGCTCACCATGAACGACTTCAGCGTTCACCGGATCATCGGCCGCGGCGGATTCGGGGAGGTCTACGGCTGCCGGAAAGCGGATACAGGCAAAATGTAACTGGGGCAGGGGGATGCTCCATAGGGATCCATAAAGGGCGGGGGGATTTGGAGGGGTACACTGGGGCTGTGGTGGTGGTCCCCAGGGCATCTGCAGCCGTGTTGCCATGACAACAGATGTTAGGGGCTTGCGGAAGTATTGCCATGGCTACGGGGCTCTGGGGGATCCAAGGACGTCATGGCCGTGGGTGGGAGCTGGATGCGGTGATGTGGCCGCGGGTGCCGGCTCTGGTGTAGCCGTGGTGACACGGTGATGGTGGCACCGAGGCAGGACCCTGCAGGGACTCTCTGCCTCCAGGTACGCCATGAAGTGCTTGGACAAGAAACGCATCAAGATGAAGCAGGGCGAGACCCTGGCCCTCAACGAGCGCATCATGTTGTCCCTCGTCAGCACCGGGGTGAGGGGACACGGGGCTCTGGGGACGGGGACACCGAGGGATGGTGTCCCTGGGGCACCACCAGCACTGCCTGACCCTGCCTCTCCTGCCAGGACTGCCCCTTCATCGTGTGCATGTCCTACGCCTTCCACACGCCCGACAAGCTCAGCTTCATCCTCGACCTCATGAATGGTGAGAAGCCCCGGTCCCCATGGACCCCTTGCGCACAGAGAGCAGTACCAGGGTGAGAGCTGGTCCCTGTTGTCACAGGGGGAGACCTGCATTATCACCTGTCCCAGCACGGAGTCTTCTCGGAGGCAGAGATGAGGTTCTACGCAGCTGAGATCATCCTGGGCCTGGAGCACATGCACAGCCGCTTCGTGGTGTACCGAGACCTCAAGGTGACCACCCCGTGCTCACACACGCCCCTGTGGGCACCTCCTGCACCCCGTGGGCACCCATGGGTGTCACAGACATCCGCACACCCTGTGGCATCCCCCAAGCCCAGAGGGCACCCTCAGGTCCTGTGGCCACCCATGACCCTGCAGGAACCCCCCAAACTCCACAGGTACCCTGAGACTTCGGGGTGGGGGGAGACGGGGGACTCCAGTGGCACTTCCCAGTCCCACAGGCCCCTCAGTGCTGTGGACACCCCCAAACCCCACAGAGCACCCCATGGGGCACCCGCAGCCCTGCTGCCAGCGCTCGGGCTCAAGGATCACCCCATATCTTGGCAGCCAGCAAACATCCTCCTGGACGAGTTTGGGCACGTCCGCATCTCAGACCTGGGCCTGGCCTGTGACTTCTCCAAGAAGAAGCCTCATGCCAGTGTGTGAGTGTGCCTGCACCCCCAAAGCCCTGAACCCCTGGCCTGGCACAGCCCCCGAGCCCGCTCTGTGCCCTACAGGGGCACCCATGGGTACATGGCTCCGGAGGTGCTGCAGAAAGGAGTGGCATACGACAGCAGCGCCGACTGGTTCTCACTGGGCTGCATGCTCTTCAAGCTGCTCCGGGGGTGAGTGTGCAGGCACCGCTGGGCACCGGGGGGTGTGGATGGGCACCGCTGAGTCCCTTCTCCCCTCACCACCGCAGCCACAGCCCCTTTCGGCAGCACAAGACCAAGGACAAGCATGAGATCGACCGTATGACCCTCACCATGGTGAGCTGGGGCCCATCCCCGTGTGGGTCGGTGCACGCGGAGCATCCCTGTCCCCCGTCGTGCCTTGGTGCTCGCGTGCTCCGTGGTGGCCTTGGTGACCGTGTCCTGTCCCCCAGGCCGTCGAGCTGCCCGATTCCTTCTCCCCGGAGCTCCGTTCCCTGCTCGAGGGGCTGCTGCAGCGGGACGTGAACCGGCGCCTGGGCTGCATGGGCCGCGGGTGAGTGCTGGTGGGCTGGGGCAGGCAGGCAGGGCAGGAGCCTGCAGCGCTCACCCCGCTCGCTCCCCAGGGCTCAGGAGGTGAAGGAGGAGCCCTTCTTCAAGGGGCTGGACTGGCAGATGGTTTTCCTGCAGAAGGTGAGGGTGAGGGCTCCGGGGGTGCAGGAAGGGCTGCGGGGGGTGCAGGCAGCACCCTCTAAACCCCGCTCCCTGCCTGCAGTACCCACCGCCCCTGATCCCACCCCGCGGCGAGGTGAACGCGGCCGATGCCTTCGACATCGGCTCCTTCGATGAGGAGGACACCAAAGGCATCAAGGTAAAGGGGATGGAGGGGCCGAGCAGGGGCCGTGCTGAGCCGACAGCGGGCTCCTGACCCAGCCTCCTGCCCGTCCCCTGCCAGCTCCTGGAGAGCGACCAGGAGCTGTACCGCAACTTCCCGCTCACCATCTCGGAGCGGTGGCAGCAGGAGGTGACGGAGACCGTGTTCGAGGCCGTCAACGCCGACACCGACAAGCTGGAGGCTCGCAAGAAGGCCAAGAACAAGCAGTTGGGCCATGAGGAGGGTGAGTGGGGCCGGGTGACCCCCCCCCCATGTGTGTGTGTGTGTGCCTACAGCAGCCCCCAGTGCTGACCCTGCCTCCCCCCGGCGCGCCGGGCACAGAGTACGCCATGGGCAAGGACTGCATCATGCACGGGTACATGGCCAAGCTGGGCAACCCCTTCCTGACGCAGTGGCAACGCCGCTACTTCTACCTCTTCCCCAACCGCCTGGAGTGGCGCGGGGAGGGCGAGTCGCCGGTAAGGCGGGCGAGCACCCGTGGGTGCTGGGAATGGGGCTGAGGGGTGCTCAGGGCCGGCTGTGGCGCTGCGAAGGGCTTTTGGGGGGGATGTGGATGGGGTGACCGCAGTGAGGCACGGGCCAGGCTGAGCCTGTCCCCCCAGCAGTCCCTGCTCACCATGGAGGAGATCGACTCGGTGGAGGAGACGCAGGTGAAGGAGCGGAAGTGCATCCTGCTCCGCATCCGCGGGGGCAAGCAGTTCGTGCTGCAGTGCGATGTGAGTGTGCCCTGCATCACCCTGCCCGGCGCTCCCCACCTCCTGCCCATCTCCTTTGGGTGCTAACCAACCCGTGCCACCCCGCTTGGGCGCTCACCACCCCCTGCCTGCTGCTGCCCACCAGCCCTGCATGTTCAGCCCTCCACGGGGCACAAACACTGCAGTCTTGGGGGGCAGCCCCTTGTGTGTGACCTGTACCCTGCCCTGCGCAGAGCGACCCCGAGCTGGTGCAGTGGCGGAAGGAGCTGCGGGACGCCCAGCGCCAGGCGCAGCAGCTCCTGCAGCGGGTGCCGCGGATGCAGAACAAGCCCCGCTCGCCCGTGGTGGAGCTCAGCAAAGTGCCGTTCATCCAGCGCTCCACCAACGGGCTCTGACCGCTGCCTGCGGCCCCCCCATCCCAGCCCCGTCCCTCCTCTTATTTATTGGGTTGGGTTCCCGTGTGCCCATGGCTCCCGGAGGACGCCCGGTGCCGGTCTCCCTCGGAGGGGACACGGCTGCGGAGCTGGCGCTGGGGGCCACGCTCCAGCACAGCTCCCCGGTGCGCGTGGTCCCCCCCCCCATCTCTCCGGCTCAGATGAAGGTAGCCCCCGCGGCCCCGCTCCGTGCCCACCCGCTTCGCCACCGCTCCGTGTGTGCCAAATGGGGCGAGCGGGGTGCCCAGCGCCGGCCGGGCAGGGACCCGGTCAGCTCATCCCTCCCCATCCCATCGTCGCCTTTGCCCCTTGTGTGGGGGCCGAGTCCTTGGTGTGAGTGAGTGAAGGTGTGAGTGTGCCCCAGGGGGACCCCTGTAAATACGGTGCCACGGGTCCCCCATGCCCCCCGGCTCTGCCCCTGCCACCCCCTTGGGTAAGGGGGAGGGAAACACTCCCAGCGTCCCCCTAAGCTGAGGGGCACAGGGGGCTGAGGGAGAGGGGAGCTGCTGGGGCCGCACTGCGGTCCCTGTAAATGCTGGTCCCCGGTTGCTCTGCTTCAGGGGTAACACCGGGGATGGGGGGGGGCTGGCACCGGGCAGGGCCGGGGCTGTTGGTGAGTGAGGTTTTAATGAGCAGAGATGTGAGAATGCCAAAAAAAAAAGAGGTTTTATAGTAAAAATGTGGAAAAACTTCGTGTGGCTCCATGGAATTGGGGCGGGGGGGGGTCAGGCATCCCCTGTGCCCCCTGCTTTGGGATGCAGGTCTCGGGCAAGGTGGGTGCTGGGGGTCGTGTGGCTTGATCTTGCTGTGGGGATGTGCAGGGAGCACCTCCCCTGCCCGCACCCAGCCCGCAGGCAGCGCCGGGCCGGCGTCCCGGCATTCCTGCGGCGCGGGGACTCTCGGGTGTCTGATGATGGGGTTGTGCCGGCGCCAAGGGATGGAGCAAAACAGCTCGAGGGGGAGGTGGAGAAGGGATGGGGATGGGATGGGGATGGGGATGGGGATAGGATGGGATGGGGTGGGATGGGGATGGGAGCAAACCTGGGTGGTCCCGGTCCCTGCCCCGGGGCTGAGGTTTAAGGCAGAAAAGGGGAGAGGAGCCCCGGGACCCCACAGGGATCGCAATGGGAAATATTAGGGGGGTGCCGGGACCCGGGAGCAGCCCGGGCCGGGGCAAGGAGGGTCCCGGTGCCTGAGGCACCGCCGTTAGTGCCGGTGTCAGGGGCCGGATGCCGGTTGCTGTTGCCCCACACCCCGCCGCGCCCGGTGCCCGCTGCCGATGTCTGCGCTGCTCAGGTGCCGGTGCCCCTTGGTGTTCGATCCCGGTTGTCGTTGCCCCTGTGCCGGTTCCGGTCGCTGGGAGCACCGGGATCAGGGTTCTGAGGTAACAGGACTGGAGGTACAGGAAGACCGGGGGCCCGGAGACCCCGGGAGCACTGAGGGACTGGTGACACTGGGACAGGGACTGGGGGAACTGGAGATGGAGGGGAACTGGGAGATGGTGGCCCCCGGGAACCGGTGCCAGTTCCCTGTTCCCGTTGCTGTTGCCCCGGTGCCGGTTCCGGTCACTGTTAGCCCCGTTGCCGGTTGCTGTCGCTGCTTTCCGGTTCCTACCACAGTTACCCCCGTTCCCCGGTGCCGGTTCCGGTCCCCGTTACACCCGGTGCTGGTTCCTGTCCCCGTTGCCCGATGCCGGTTCCTGTTCCCGTTACCCCCGGTGCCGGTTCCGGTCCCCGTTACCCCCGGGGCTGGTTCCTGTCCCCGTTACCCCGGCTGCCGGTTCCGGTCCCGGTTACCCCTGGTTCCGGTCCCTGTTCTCCGGTGCCGGTTCCTGTCCCCCTTACCCCCGGCGCCGGTTCCTGTCCCCCTTACCCCCGGTGCCGGTTCCTGTCCCCGTTACCCCCGGTGCCGGTTCGTGTCCCCGTTACCCCCGGTGCCGGTTCCGGTCCCCGTTCCCCGGTGCCAGTTCCGGTTCCTGTCGCTGCTTCCCGGTTCCCTCCGCCGTTACCCCCGGTGCCGGTTCCGGTGCCCCTCGCCCCTGGTGCCCGGTGCCGGCCCCGCCCCGCGCCGCCGCTGTGCGCCGCCGCCGCCGCCCCCGCGCGCAGCCATTGCGGGCAGGCCCCGGCGCTGCGGCCCGTCCGCCCGGGGACATGGTGCGGGGATGGCGGGAGCCGCGCACACGTTCCCGCTGCACCGCCTCGTCTGGCACAACCGGCACCAGGCGCTGGACAGCGCCCTGCGCTCCGGAACGGTGGGGCCCGCACCGCACCGCACCCCCCCGGCCAACGGGAGGGGATGGCGAGAGCGGCGGGGGCACCGGGAGCAAGGGGGGAGGCTGCGGGAGCAGGGGGGGGATTGGGCACAACGGGGAGCTGCGGGCGCTGGGGGGACCGGGAGCGCTACCGGGGACTGCGGGCAATGGGGAGGCTGCGGGCGCAGGGGACTGGGGGCACTGAGAGGGAGCGGGGGGACTGGGGGAGCTGCGGGCGCAGGGGAGTGGGGGCACTGGGAGCACTGGAGGGGACTGGGAGCACTGCAAGCAGCTGAGGGGATTGGGGGAGCTGCGGGCGCAGGGGACTGGGAACATTTGAAGGAACTGGGAGGACTGGAGGAGATACGGGCACAGGGGACTGGGAGCACTGCGAGGGACCGGGAGCACTGCAAGCGGCTGAGGGGACTGGGGGAGCTGTGGGCGCAGGGGAATGGGGGCACTGGGGGGGACTGGGAGCATTATAGGGAACTGGGAGGATTGGGGGAGATACGAGCACAGGGGACTGGGAGCACTGCGAGGGACCGGGAGCACTGCAAGGAACTGAGGGATTGGGGGAGCTGCAGGCACAGGGGAATGGGGGGACTGGGGGGGGGGACACTGGAGGAGTCTGGGAGCACTGTGGGAGAGCTGGGAGCATTAGAGGTACTGAGAGGACTGGGAGCACTGGAGGGACTGGGGGTACTGGAGGGCCTGGGGGCAGTAAGGGATGATGGGAGGATCTGGGATACCAGGTGGGACTGGGAGGACTGGGATCCTAGAGGATGGTAGCGCCAGGGGGCTGGAAGCAACTGGGAGCACTGGGATTAGGATACTGGGTTAGCAGCTCTGGAGGTAGAGGGAGACAGGGGCTCTGTGGTACTGGGAGCACTGAGGGTTGGGGCACTGGGACAGCAGGGAACTGGGAGCACTGGAGATGGAGGGGAGCTGGGAGTAGGGGGACACTGGGTCTTGGTCGCGTTGGGATGTGGGCCTGGGGACATGGGTGATGCAGGATGGGGACCCGGGTGATGCAGGTTTGGTGACACGGGATGGGGACATGGGTGATGTGGAAGGGGGACATGGGTGCCAGGGGATAGGGACACAGAATGGGGACACGGGTGACACGAGATGGGGATATGGGTGATGTGGGATGAGGACATGGGTGTCGCAGGGATGATGACATGGGATGGGTCCACGGGTGATGTGGGGATGGGGACATGAGTGGCATGGTGCTCAGGACATGGGTGCCATGGGATTGGGAAAAGAGTGACACAGGATGGGGACATGGGTGCTGGGGACCTGGGAGACATGGGATGGAGACATGGGTGCTGCAGGAATGGTGACACAGGTGATGCATGGATGGGGACATGGGTGATACCGGTACTGATGACAGGGGAACCATGGGATGGGGACATGGGTGATACCGTTACTGGTGACAGGGGAACCATGGGATGGGGACATGGGTGATACCGGTACTGGGGACAGGGGAACCATGGGATGGGGACATGGACATGGGTGATACCGGTACTGATGACAGGGGAACCATGGGATGGGGACATGGGTGATACTGGTACTGGTGACAGGGGAACCATGGGATGGGGACATGGGTGATACCGGTACTGGGGACAGGGGAACCATGGGATGGGGACATGGGACATGGGTGATACTGGTACTGGTGACAGGGGAACCATGGGATGGGGACATGGGTGATACTGGTACTGGTGACAGGGGAACCATGGGATGGGGACATGGGTGATACCGGTACTGATGACAGGGGAACCATGGGATGGGGACATGGGTGATACCGGTACTGGGGACAGGGGAACCATGGGATGGGGACATGGGTGATACCGGTACTGATGACAGGGACATGGGTGATGCCGGTACTGGTGACAGGGAACCATGGGATGGGGACATGGGTGATACCGGTACTGGTGACAGGGGAACCATGGGATGGGGACATGGGTGATACCGGTACTGATGACAGGGGAACCATGGGATGGGGACATTGGTGATACCGGTACTGATGACAGGGGAACCATGGGATGGGGACATGGGTGATTACCGGTACTGGGTGACAGGGAACCATGGGATGGGGACATGGGTGATACCGGTACTGGTGACAGGGGAACCATGGGATGCGGACACGGGTGATACCGGTACTGATGACAGGGGACATGGGATGAGGACACGGGTGATACCGGTACTGATGACAGGGGAACCATGGGATGGGGACACGGGTGATACCGGTACTGGTGACAGGGGAACCATGGGGATGGGGACATGGGTGATACTGGTACTGGTGACAGGGGAACCATGGGATGGGGACATGGGTGATACCGGTACTGATGACAGGGGACATGGGATAGGACACGGGTGATACCGGTACTGGTGACTGGGAACCATGGGATGGGGACATGGTGATTACCGGTACTGGTGACAGGGAACCATGGGATGGGGACATGGGTGATACGGTACTGGTGACAGGGGAACCATGGGATGCGGACACGGGTGATACCGGTACTGGTGACAGGGGAACCATGGGATGGGGACATGGGTGATACCGGTACTGGTGACAGGGAACCATGGGATGGGGACATGGGTGATACCGGTACTGATGACAGGGGACATGGGATGGAGGACACGGGTGATACCGGTACTGGTGACAGGGGAACCATGGGATGGGGACATGGGTGATACCGGTACTGGTGACAGGGAACATGGGATGGGGACATGGGTGATACCGGTACTGGTGACAGGGGAACCATGGGATGCGGACACGGGTGATACCGGTACTGGTGACAGGGGAACCATGGGATGGGGACATGGGTGATACCGGTACTGGTGACAGGGGAACCATGGGATGGGGACATGGGTGATGGTACTGGTGACAGGGGAACCATGGGATGCGGACACGGGTGATACCGGTACTGATGACAGGGGAACCATGGGATGCGGACACGGGTGATACCGGTACTGGTGACAGGGGAACCATGGGATGCGGACACGGGTGACCCGGCATGGGTGATACCGGGGTGGGTGACCCGGGGTGGGGACACGGCTGCCGCTGCCCGTCCCCAGCACGACGTGGAGCTGCCGGACCCGCGGGGCCGGACGCCGCTGGAGCTGGCGGTGGCGCTGGGGCACCTGGAGTCGGTGCGGGTGCTGCTGCGGCACAACGCGAACGTGGGCCGCGAGAACGCCG